CTAATAAAAAGATATAATAAAAATAAAAATAAAAAATAAAAAATAAAAAGATAATAAGAACTTTAATCTTAATACTATTTTTAATAAAAGAGTTTCTATTTATTTTGTAGGGCCATAAATGAACCAAATCAAAATAAATAAGATATATAATTAATATAGACGTGCTTAAAAAAAGATTAAAAATAAGTTATAATAAAAATTATCTAAAAATATGAAGAATTGATGCGCAAAGAGGACCAGTTGTGAACCAAGATCAAAATCAGACCCTCATGCACAAAACCATGTACCTACGGTGACTCCAAGGTTCTTTGATTGATCAAAGAGTGGGATTTGAGAGCAGATAGGAAAGAGGATTTTTGAATGTTAGTTTTTAGTAATTTGAGTGCGTAACAACTTTGTAAAGGATTTGTAAAAGTAGAGTTGTTTTTAATTGACTTTGGATTTTGAAAAATTCAAAGAATTTGTACTTTTGACAATTGTTTGAAATTTGTAAATGATCTATAAGTAAAATTTTGTGATTAAGTAATAATTATTATGTATAATTTTTTTTACAAGCTTGTTCTAATAGTTTGTTTAATATTTATTGAAGCTCAAACATATTGAAGTCTCAAGAATTAGGATTTAAAAGACCAATGAGGATTTCTAACATATTTGTCAATCTACTAATTAGATTGAAATAAAGTTTTGTATATAAGTAATAAATATGACTTCCAAAAATTATGCAAAGTTTGATACCTATTAAATAGTGAAATTAAGAGATTTTGGCTTTAGAATATCAATATCAAGGTAGGAGAAAGAGATTGACTAACATCCAAGCAAGTTTTAGAGATTATCTTTTTTTTTGGTATATTTGATCTTTTTCAAATATTTTTGTTCTTATTTATAATTTAATTATTAAAAAGTATACAAATTAATAATTAAAATAAATGATTAAATTATTAATTATTGAAATTTTAATTCATTATAATATTATTAAGAATTTGTCTAAGATTTAGAATTTAATTAGGATTCACTAAGATTTTATTAGAATTTAATTAAAATTGATCTATGGTTTAAGAATTAATTAAGATTTAATTAGGATTTTATTAAGATTTATTTTATATTTATTTAATATTTATTTAAGTTTTCTATTATTTTTATTATTTCTTTTAATATTTTTTATTATTTTTTTAAATTTTATATTTATAATATTTTTAAAATATTATTGTTATTTCTTTAAGATTTTATTTTTATAAATTTTTAAGATGTTTTTTTTTAGATTAATTATGACTTCTTTATGTTTCTTTAAAATTTCTTTTAAAAAACATTTGGAGTGGATAAAGTTTAATTAAATTTTTTTAAAATTAATTGAGGTTTATTTAAGACTATTAGATTTGATAGGATTTTGCTGTTGCATTTCTACTTACCTTCCACAACTAAGTACCTGATATATTTTTAAGGAAGAATACATGTAATATGACAATATTAAGATTGCTTCTTAGTACCATATTTATTTTTATTTGCAACATATATTATATGCTATATATTATAGGAACTCAAATAAAATTTATATGAACTACAACTACCAAACAACTCAATAATGAATAACTAGATATTTGTCAATAATATTAGCTTATTTCTTACAAAAGACTTAGATAACCTTACTAAAGTAATGCTAGTACCTAATTGGTATTGTGAAGCCTCAAATATCAAAGCCAATTGATATAAGACATATGCAATTTAGACCTCTTCAAAACAATGTATATAGCAATGACATACAAACCTCAATCTAATATAAAAAATGGAGGGAGAAATGATAAAATACTTTGAATTCTTAATTAGATACAAAATAAAAGAAGAAGACCATGGCAACAAAGTTGTACAATATATCACAAGATAATAAGTAAAATAAGAATCCAAGAAACTTTTTTTAATTGAAAAACTTCTAACCATAAATCAAATGATATTGGCTTCTATATAATACATGGTTTCATGTTCAAGTATTGTTGAGAAGATCTTCAAACAAGTACAAGCCCTCATACACAACTACCTATAAAGTAGCATAATTACAAGAATAGCAAGGACTAAAATTAAATAGAATATCACTATCAAACTAACAACCTATGGAAGATTAAAGATCTTTGATTCAAAGATCTAAATCAAAGCCTTCCTAGCAAAATATGTAGCAAGGAGGCTCACTGTTGAGATGGAACTATAGAAAATCTTCCTCTAATGTAGAATAAATTCAACTCATTACTTTAAATACAAAACTTGGCACTTCAATATATATTGGATGATTAAAATTAACTTATCAATTAATTTATAACGCTCCTTATTATAGTAGAATGCAAGCAAGGCTTAGCAGAGCCTATAATTTAATCTCATCTTTATTCTTCCAAAGTATACAGTCAAATATTTGTTAATAAACATATAACAACTCATAAATATTAGACATAGAAGGCTACATGTAGAAAAAAGACAAAGCTTATTGACTTATACTCTAGTATCAAAAGGAGTTTATTCCATCTTTGGCATCTAAAACAAATACATATATGATTAGTTCACTATAGCCCAATTCAAATGCTAAATTGGAAACAATACAACAAAATTATAACTATATCAAAACTTTAATTTCATATTTTGATATCTAAATAATGCAATATCTTACTTGCCATGGAATTGGTGGAATTGGCATATTTGGTGCTATTAATGCGCAAAGAAACATAATCAAAGTGTATCACATATAAGAACTCATAAAAGGCAAATTAAATGGTACCAAATACATAGTTACATCATTAAAGAAACTTAAATCAATACATGAATGAGTCTTATACTTCAATGAAAGAAAACTACTGAGGATATAAGTAGCTTTAAAGAATGCAAAATATAAAATCATAGGTTTTAATCTAAACAAGCCACTCCTATCCCAACAACTCCTATAGTTCATAAGAAAACACCTAATTTAGCATATAACCTTTGATTTAAGAAAATAGCATTGATAGAATCAAAATAACATCAAGACCATACATATATATAACTACATAATACAAAGATGATATAGAATTGGCAGCATCAACATGAAAGTAATATTAAAAAAAGAATATAACCTTAGAGCTCATTATTTTAAAAATGAACATTATAGGTTGTTTTACAAAGTACTATGACATCCATAGCTACATCGAAAGAGTGATCCATCATATGATCACTCTAAGAGAAGATATATTAATAGATGCCTTGTGCCAAGTTATGAGAATGGACCTTTAATGTTGCCTTTGCAATACAAGAGCCATAGAAACAATTCAACATGCCTTTTGGAACTGCCATGCCATCAAGTTAGAATGGAACTTATATAACAACCTTTGCAACTCAAACTAGCTATCCCCTCTCAACAGTTAGGACAATGTGCTATACATCACCCTCCATCCTACAACTTTGATAAACCACTCAGCCCTCACATACATGGTAAGAATTACCACAGCCACCTCCTAGAACATTTTTAAGACGCTCATATTGTGGAATGTTTCGTGAGCCAAATGTAGCTTTGATAGGAACCAGGCATCCTACCACACTAGCCAGGTGCTCTACTAATTCTGAAAAATGACAGTACGAATTGGCTTCAAAGCTTGCAGGGAGCTCCACCATCATGCTAGACCCCCATTAGAACAGCACCAAAAAGTCAAACTATTTTGCGCCACATAGACCAAGTACAATACCTTTGCCAGCCCAAAACCGCTCACATACGCCCAGTTTCAGTACGATTGCAACTGGTCCAGCTCTAGCCTCTTATTCAGCGCATTTATAGGTTAACAGCGATTGCTAGAACACTGGTGTGCGTTCATATTGTGGACGCTACTGCAAGTTTGAACACCAAAGAGATGGCTGCTGCCTAATCAGAAATCCCACCATCGTGAGCGGCTCCAAAACACTTCTTCCCCGCTCGAAGAATACCCGGGCATTCTTCAACCTCTCGTCAGAGGTAGCGAGAACAACTCAGAGGGTATGTACTCAATCAGGCTCATCCTTGATTCAGAACGAGAGCACAAAATCCCATCCAGAAAACTGGAGCACCAAAAACCAGTTCCTGAGCTGTCGAACCATGTTCTGCAGAGCCTAAGGAAAGCATTTGATCAATGCACCGAAAAGCACGATTATCGCGGGCAAAAGAAGACGAAAAATATTCTAGAAGGATCTAGTGAATCAATAACGTTCGTCACAATGAACATCAGACAACTAACAGACTGAACAGAAACCTACTGTGACAAGTTGGGACTACTTCAACTCCACTCAGACACGAGTCAGTGTAGAGATGGGAAATGAAGGGTATCGAACACTCCTGTCTATGAAAAACAGACAAAGAGCATGCACCGCTGAAGTAATCGCTTATCGATCAAGCAACAATTCGAGTACTGTTGACTGGAATGGAAGACTGGTGGCATCAGAAGCAACCATCTCATCTCGTGTGCTCAGTGTCACAGACATCTCACACACTCATCATTCTGTTTGACTCTTTTTTCGTGCTGCTTCTCTACCACTTTGTTCGTCTGCAAACCACCGAATGAACGATGCTTGAAGCGGCAGCCTGCACCCCCAAAGCTCGTCTGGTTTCTTTCGGTATCAACTCTCGTGTCAACTCTGATGTTTATTATTATTATTATTATTATTATTTTGGTTTAAAGTTTTGGCGTATGGTGTTCCCTGATTTTTTTGAGGAAAAAGTAGAAGAAAAATGAAAAAGAAACAATTTGAACACAAGTATTTTTTATTTTTTTATTTTTTTTGTTGTTGTTGTATTAAGCATTATTCCACACAGATAGGCGTTTAGATTAGTCCAAGGTTTAGAAACTAACAATGTGATGAAAAGGGACCAAAGAAATCTTCATTTCAATTAGATTTTAGGATCATGCTCAAGATGGTTTTCGTGGAAGACAAAGGCACGGTTGAAGATGGGACTCAGCGACCGAAAACCGCGCCCGTGACTCAGGTGGGGGGGGGTGCAAAGCCGCAGGAGGAACGAGTCATTGCTCGAGCTTTCTCCTTCCTCGGTCTTCCTTGTCTGGTGCTTCCTTCTCCGTCTTCGGTTCAGTGATATAGAGGTCGATCTCCCTCTTCACCGCCCCCACACTTTAAGCGTGCAGGGTTTCGCCGTGAACTCCTTCAGGAAAATCATTTGACGTGCAAGGCTTCCAACTAAGGTGCGTCATCCTTCATTTTTCCGGCTTACGAGCGTGCCCTCGAAATATTGTTTGTGCGCGTGCAGGTGTGGTGTTTTATGTTGTGGTGGAGTTATATTGAAACTGTCCGGCAAAGATGAGCACGGAAAGAAGGAATAAAAAGAACTGGGCACACTGTGTACGATATGCTTGTCGGTGCTGTGAGCGTTGTGGTGCGCTGTCGGTTTGCCTGTTAGGTGCTCCTCTGTGAGGGTTTCCTTTTCGGTGACGGAGGTCGTGGTTTCAGATAGCTTGCGGAGGAGGGATCATTGTCTGATTTGAAGGATTTGGAGATTTAAGTAGAGGTTAGGGTTCCTGTTTTTGCACTTATTTCAAGTTGGAGCTAATTTCAGCTCGGGTGTATGCTCTTAGGTCACGGGAATAGTTTCACTACGTGTTCAGGTGTTCGATTTGTCGTGGCACTCTGAGTTTCGACTAAGTTGGTGCAAATGTTTGGCAATTCTGCTCCGAATTTCAGTTAGCGCTTCCATGTAGTTTTTTTGTGCGACGGACAGTTTGAGGATGTACCTCGCGTCCGTTTCTTGTTTACAACGTTGATGTGAAGGTGTCATCAGCTATCGCCTCCGTTACTTTGCTGGTGATGATTAGTGCATGTATTTTGTGTGCTATTGGCACCACTGCGTGATCCTTTCCGGATTTGTTTCGTTTCTGTCAGGAGGGACATGCCATTATTTTTTCCTTGTAACGTTGGCTCGCGTTGCTCTCAAATTCTTCTAAGTTGACTCATCAATTCGTTATGAAATATTGATATATTCCGCATTATTGCTCAGAATAAAATCACGAGGTTTGTGGAAGTGTTCCAGTTATTCAGTATCTGCTCTTAAAGATTTCAGAATAGATCATCTTGAAGGGGGTGGGGGGAAGGAGATCCTTCAAGAAAGAGTAATTATCACTCTTCACAATTCTACCCTATTTTAGGATGAACTATTTCAAATCATCGTGATTCTGTGAGCAGCATATTAGCTGGTTGTCTGTGCATGCATTATGGTTAGTATTCGCGTTTGTCCCGGTGCTCACGTGTTAGTTATGTGTAAAGTGTGCACAAGTAGATAATAAAAGAATTTTTCAGAACTAGTTTTAGACTTCTGATTTATCGACAATTTGAGTGGGTATACCTGTTACTAACCCTATGCATAACTCCATTAGTTATCTTCAAATATGGCTGAGAAGCGCGTCAAGCTGAAGAGCTCTGATGATGAGATGTTCGAGGTCGATGAGGCCGTGGCGTTCGAGTCACAAGCTGTGAAGAACATGATAGAGGACACGGGTATAGACGCTCCAATCCCTCTACCTAACGTGTCTAGCAAGATCTTAGCAAAGGTAATTGAGTATTGCAAATATCATGTTGAAAACCAGAAGCCCAGTGATGACAAGCAAGCCACCCCCGAGGAAGAGATTAAAGCATGGGATGCCGATTTTGTCAAGGTCGATCAAGCAACCTTGTTCGACCTCATACTGGTATGAAACTTATGTCCAGTCTCAATATGCGAAGTTTTACCGCTCATGCTTTGGTGCGCTTCATACTTATGATGTTTATGAGTATTATGTTAGGGAGTAAACATTTTCCTATTATTATTATTTATTTATTTATTATGGTGATTCTTACACTTATCAAGATGACGCGATTAATGTTGGTTTGTATGGCTCATTGTAGCGGCGATTTATTGATTATTTAGAGCACGTCATGGCTGTCTTTTCTTAATGCCCTAGCGCTTTTGAATTTGTATCCTTGCTACCTAAATGAGGCTTAATGTTTCTTATTTGTGAACAGGCGGCCAATTACTTGAACATCAAGAATTTGTTAGATCTGACTTGCCAGACCGTAGCGGACATGATCAAGGGTAAGACCCCTGAGGAGATCCGTAAGACATTCAACATTAAGAACGATTTTACTCCGGAGGAGGAAGAGGAAGTTCGAAGAGAAAATCAGTGGGCCTTCGAGTAGGCTCCCAGCTTTTCAGATGCTCTGGAGTCAACATGTGATCTGGAATAATTCCAAATTTGTAGCTAAGCGTTCCATTCCCACATATCTAGAAGACTACTCAGGGAACTTAACGTCTTTGAGGTTAAAAATATGTCTCAAGAAGATTACACTTGTTGTGTCAATCTACTTCAACTGTATTCACAGTTTGTTACAGCTATGTGTGGTAAAGAATTTCTGTGAAAAAGTTTAGAGTGCAGTGTAAGTATGTATACTCATAATCATAGTAGTGATCGTTTTATCTGCGCCGTTCATGCGTAAAACATTTACGAATTCTATAGGGTGAATTTAGGCTCGGCGGAATCTCGAAAATATGCTGAAATATTTCTTCAGGTGGAAGAAATGATAGTTTCGGCGCTAAAGTACCGAATCCATAATCACCGTCTGGTGAGATGTTTATGTGACCTGTGTGCATATATGTCGATCAATATTTCCTGAGAATGGCTTTCGCTTATGGATTATGGCTGCTTTCCGCAGTCAGGAAACTTCTATCAACTTCTTGCCCATCTTAACCCTTAGCGGATATTTTATTCAAGTAGAATGGGATAAATATGGCGTTTGTGCGGGATGCAACGCCTACGGTAACATCGATGATATGAGGAAGCACTCGTAATTGTAGCAGCTAGACATGATATCCTTGCAAATGTTTCTTAAAACGCTCCAATGCAATTAGAATGAAATCAGTCAAAGTTGTACATCTTTACGACCTCCGTGTTGAGCATCATACGGGATCGCCACTGCTACCAGGTCCAGGAAACAACGGATCTATCTCCGAGTATCTTGAATGACAAGGAAATTATTGAAAGGCATCTTCTGTATGCTACACTACAAATGGTTGCTGCTAAAGCCGGTAATATCTTCTTCGAGTATTACTGAATGATGAATAAATAGCTCATAATCAAGAGTTTAAGGCCTCTGTGAATCTCATGCTGACAGCAAAACTTGCTGAAGGTCAGTCTCTTTGAACTGAACCAACTCATTACAAAACTCGCACTTAACTTCGATAGCACCTGCACCTTCAAAATCAACTTTCCATGAGTAATTTTTGGTAGAAGTAGTTGCACAAGCTGGCAACCAAGCAAAGCACACTGTATGCTATTATATCGATAGAATCACATTCTACAGAAATGTAGCGACGACGGTCGTAATTCTGAATGAAAACGGAGATGCCATCACTGAATTAATGTACAATAGCAAGGACCAGCCTCGAGTGTGACAATTTTCTGTTAGACCGTGATTCAAGAGGACATATCCATCACCTCCTTCGAACAAGCGCTGCAACATCTGACATAAGTTACTAATACAATATAAAAGTGCACAAAAGTAGGGTATTTCCCACCTTGCTCATCCAAAATCTCCCGGATTTCAGCCGGTTCCATGGATGCCACAGCGCGCAGCATACGGGGTTTCAGCTCTTCTACTCCACACGGTCCATACCTCGGAATTATCTGTTTGGGTACATCCATATAAATGAACTCATATCGCCAAAAGCCCCTTAATAAAACCAGTTCGATCTAATAATTTTATGATGGCATGTGAGTTCATGCCTAGTATGACACACCTCACGTCATATATGACATAAAGCTAAACGATACCCAGTACTTAACAGAGACAAAACCACGATAAAAACCTGGGAGATCATGCAAAGGATTCTGATCTTTCTAAAACTCGTCAATATGTTGAATAAGAAATATGACTTACTGTATCATTGTAGTCACCCGCACCAATACCATCAAGTATTGCTTCCGCAATGTCAGATGCCTTAAGTTCACTAGGAGAATCGGATAAAGGCTTCATTTTGAGGATGTTTTCTTCGAGCCTAGATAAGGTCTCCTCTGAACAAAATGGTAATACCTGCATTGTTAATCAGAATAAAAGCATCTATATCTTTGTGAGTACGAAGTGGTTAGAAGGAATCATAATAACATTCAGCATTAATACATCATAATTGAACAGGATATCTTAAAAACGTCAATCGAGGAATGCTTGAGGCCGGAACTTTCGTGCTACCGCAAGTATCATGATGCCAATGCATGTAGACCCGCCCAAGGAACGCAAAAACGCACTAAGTAGTTGGCGCAAAGCGCACTAAGATTGAACTCTGCGTGAAAAGGAAAGACATGGAGATCATGTACCGAGCATGGCAAGGATATCCAATCTTACCTGAACTAAATAGCCTCCAGCAAATCTAATTCCTACTTCCTTGTCAAATCCAATGCCTAGTCCCAACGCAGTGTTCATCTGTTATAAGCAATGGCATTATAATTAGGCATATGGGCCTAAAACTACCAGAAGCACCAGACATACATACATCAGCATGAACAGAATCCTTAGTTTGACTCATGATTATGAAAATATGTTAAAACAGGACAGCGAGCTTTATAAGGCATCTAATTTGACAGTCAAAGTTCAACAAGTCCTTCACATTCTGCACGTCAAGATCAGACGTACAGTTGGTACCAGACAACGAACTACAAGCTCACGTTAAATCAATTTTTTCGCACTTGCTAACATAATTGCAATTCGGTTGATAATATTATACGTGGTCCATTCAAAACCTATTAATTGAGAATTTAGGACAAATGTTCTTATTGAAACTAAGACCTTTAAAGATTCCAAGAGCGATTGATTCTGACCTGCTCACTATCTGCTAGGTAGTGTGCTATATCTTCTGCAATTTCACCAGAATAAATAGGTACCGTCCCTCTGTAATCAAGCACAACATTGTTAGGAACATATGAAATAATGCTGTGAAAACTTCCAAAAACGCTGTAGCACTGGCTCCCGAGCCCTGTGTGGTTCTGTTTGCTGACAGTCTAGTACAAGAAATTCACTGTCTTCACAAAGATTACCATCTTTTCTCTCAAAAAGTCGTTCTGAAGTATAATCTATCAACGACAATGTCATCATGGGCATTGATAAGTAACTAGAACACCAAAAACCATAAAAAATAAATCAAGGATGAAGAAAATGTCTGATTTGAACTTTACGTGTAAGGTTGCTTCCAGTTGCGGTTGTTGCGTACAACGCTAAGTACACCAGATCCAACTGCCAACCCCACATTCAGCTGCATACGAATCGCACAAGTAGCATGATTCAATCTCCAATAAGAATAGGATGCAACAACACAAATAGCAGTATCCCGTCTAATTTAATTCATTTTCCACCAAATGCCAACGGTGTACAACTGAAAAAAAAAAAAAAAAAAAACAAACAAACAAACAAACAAAACAAAACAAAACAAAACAAGCTTCACGTTACGATACGAAACCACTACATTCATCATATCTAGAAATCACTACAACTCGTATTTAAGCTTTGACTCAACGATAAAAGACAGCAACATGAAGTTGTACCTTGCCATTATCCTTCAAGGGAGGATCACATGAGGGATTGACAACAAAGCCTTTTACATGACCTTCATCAGCAGAAATTGCAGTCATATTTCCTAGAGGACCATTTCCCCTAAAAAGCACCTGCAACAGAAAGTTCCATAAGTTCTTATATAAAACTTATAAACAAGTTCCTGCTGCATATGCTGTAGGTAACGTAGAACAAGATGTTTATATCACTTCACACAACTTCACCAACTGAAGTAAAATGTAACCAAATCAAATCACTTGGCGGGTTGGCATACCTGAACGGTTTCTGCATCACCTTTGAGTGCTCCTAGGAGAAGAGTACCCATTAGCGTACGTCCTAACGCTGCACATGCCTTCCCTTGCAATACCAAATTAGCGTTACTCTGATGATAATATACGATTCTTAAATGTAAACCTGTATAAAAGAGGACCGTGCAGATACCACGAAGATCAAAATAATAATAATAATATTAATAATAATAACAACAACACCAAAGTAATACAAACAAGGAAATGCTTACGAAGTACAATAAGGATGGCCTGAAAAACAGACCATAATTTAAACATGCCTTGATACAACAAGTTTCAGTACTATTAAATGACTAGGACTGAACCTATCTGTTGTTCATCAAACAGTCTCCACGCTTTAAGAATGCGATGTAAAGTGACACGAGATGATACAAAGGTTTGAAAACACTGGCACATACAGTTGGAGAAGTATTGTGTCGTTGCTGGGCCTCCCTCACGACTTCAGTAGCCACGAGGCTTAGTACTGACACCTGTTCTCATATGGCCATTACAAAGCAAATTCGTGATCACCATGTGCAACTTCAAAACCATTCGATGACATGAATTTTAACAACACTCTAAAACCCTAGGGTTTAACTCAAGAGCATGTTAACAGCTAATCACGACTGGATGAAGTCCTGAAGCCCAAGTTTTATTCCGCATATCATCTCGGAAGTTCGATTCGAAGAACTTGCCTCGGCGTCCTTGGAAATGACGCGCACGAGTTTATCGCCACCCCCTAGTGGATCCAAGTCTGCATTGTGCTCATTTTGAGAGGATCTAACACGTACATCATTCGATATCGACCTCCCTCTCTTCGGAATTACAGCCGGCGATTGTCTAATAGATAGACGCCCCCATTTAGAAGATTCAGTGAATTCTCTGCTAACGAACCGAACCGTGAAATTCCTTGAAATAAAAGGGCTACCACAGAAAATCCCTCGCAAATCATCTTTTCTAGTGCCTTCACACACCCATAAAACTCTGCAATGTCAGGATATGACAAGAATATGGTAGAATACTTAAGACAAGCCATAACCTGTACAACATACTCAATACCATCTCATTCCTGCCAAACATCCACTATACATTTCACTACACAATCGACAGACTGTTTATAAATAACCATCCACCTCGACCTAAAAATTATCCAAATTTGTCATACATGATCAGTTCCTAAACTTTAAATTTCCAGCCACAAACGACGCGTCAAATTACCAACTATGCGCAGAATTTTCAAAAAAAAAAAACAAAAAACAAAAAACACACACTAGGAAGGTAATGAGGACGGACCAGATAGAAGGGAAGTGAAGGCCGAAAGGCGGTGTGAGAGTGAAGGGGTAGACATTGCAACTATCCTTACTCAGACGATATGCAATCCCGAATCCTTGCAAAAACGCAGAGCAACGTTGAGGAAAAACAATTGTAACAAGACTAGCGAGGTACGAGCAGTCGAGAGGACAAGGTTAGAAGGGAGGAGAGGAACAAGAAAGCTTGTTCAGGACACTAGCTCGCACTACTGAAGAACACACTAACCCCGCATTCCAGCTACTTCGACCGCCAGTTGGCGCCCCACGGCGGCCGTAGCTGGTCGCTGACGCGCGGTGGAGGCAGAAGATAACAGTCTCCCGCGTCGGTTTTCCATCCAAAGGATTCATTCGTACAGAAGGATGAAATCATGAGATTTGACCTTTGTTAGGCTGGTGATAAAAGGGCACCCAACTGAACACTATAACCTCTTGGGAACTCATACCTTCATGGCTACAATGCAATGCAGCTGGATGTCTTTTGGGGAAGGGGGGGGGGGGGGGGGGGGGTTGGTTGAATGCATGTAATGGCTGTGGTCTAAGCTTATGGGTGAGAACCCCTCCTCAGTCTTATCCATTCTCATCAATGACAGGAATCCAAAGTAGCCTACAAGGTCTCATGTTGAACTTCACTGCCTTCCCACCCCATGTGGCAGACCCATCATGGCTTTTGCTTTGCTTTCAATTCATTCCAGAACATGGAAGGGTGGTAAAGTGGGTCAGAGAAATCTATGGTACCTTTCCAACATGTGTTGTGTTACAACTTATTAATGCAAAAAATATTCATTTCAATCAATTGGTTTTTCAGTGTCTTCTATTATTTGAAAAAAATTGATGTGAAATGTATGATAGATTGCACAACCAGATGAAAAGAAGTTATTTGTGTGTGAGTGTGTATATATATATATATATATGTATATATTCATAAGAAAAATATTAAACTTCTGACACATTACAGTTACTTATAATGTTAAAAAGTGTTGTCACTAATATATTTTTCTATTGTATCTACAAAACAGGGTGTATTAATATTTTTATAACGATGTTTTAATATATTAAAGATAGGATTTGCTAAAGCAAGACCCCTGTATTGTTAAAGCCACACATCACATGGATACATTATGGCTCTTCCCTCAACCCCGGCTCTCCCATGCCACTCTCATCCCTTGCTGCTCACCACTTATGTATACACACTAAATCATCACTCCCAATTCTTTTCCACATGAATGCAAGTATACGAAACAAGTGAACTTTTTCCTAAGTGTCTCCAAAGGAATTGCAAAGTGCAAACTCAAAAGGAATCACAATGCATGCAACCACATCTTTTGGGGTGTTGCTTGAGCATAAGGGTCCTTTTTCCTAATTGTGTAGAAATAAAAAAATTATATAGTTTAAAATTTTAAATTATATAGACAATTACAAGTTTAAATTTTAAAAATACAATAATTTCCTATTTTAAAAAAATAAAATATTTTTGTTATAATATGCTATTTTATAATACTATGAAAATATAAAATAGTAAAAAAAATAGATTTTATGTATGTATGTATGTATGTATTACATTTAATTATTTTTCAAAGTATTTTATAATCATTGTTTAAAGCCATTAAACTGATTTTTTAATGAATAAAAAAACCAAATAATTTTGAGGATATATATATATATATATATATATATATATGTACACACATAATTTATCATTACTACTAAGATTATATCTGAAGTTTCTCAAGTTTGTTTTTAAATTGTTTCTATACAAAATAGTAGATGATTATGATAAAACAATAATCATACACATGCCATGCATCTAAAAATTGGTGTCTATACATATGCATACATATAGATATACATATGTATATCTACAATTTATATTTTGCTTAAAATTAGATTTTTAAAGGCTAAGTGATTGAATTTACTCAATTTCAATGTCTACAAATAGCAAGTATCATGATGTGACCTTATTATACCAAATAATATTATCTTTGTATGATTTTTTATCTAAAATAATCTCACAATTTTATGACATCTTATAGTCTATATTAAAATCATAATAACAATAATAAAATTATTCTTTTAATGAAATCATTTAGTTTAAATTGAAACCCTAGATTCCTCACACAAGGATGTCCACTTTGCCAACTCATAGGTATGTAAAAAATGGTTGGTGGTGAAACTACAATACCAACTATGTTAGTATGTGACTTCTATTTGTATCAATCATTCATTTGTATTGCAATCCATGAAAATGATTGGAAAGAAGTATTTATTCTAAAATACCTTTTGTAAGATTCAGTGAAAAAATAAAAAATAAACAATAAATGGTAGGTGAAAACTCAATTTGTTTTATTACCTTAATAATTGAAGAAATAGAACACTTATCTATTAGTAGTCTATAATGTTTTTTGGTTTTTAAGAGACAAGTTTATATTATTACTTTACCAAATATTATAACTCAAAAACATATATATATATATATATATATATATATTGTAGAAATATAAATATGAATAAATGAACATAAAATATTTATTTGAACATCAAATATTTATTTGAACATCTAGAAATTTTAGGATTAATTATTATTATTATTATTATTATTATTTATTTATTTTTCTTTTACACAGTATCAAAAAATATCATGTTACATAAGAAATTAATTATCATAAAATGGTTAATAATTTTTAAATTTAAATTTTTATTATAAGATTGCTATACTCAATAACATGTTGTAAAAGCTATGTTGATGATTGATAAGATAGATAGTTATATCATCTTAGAATTTTTATTTTATTTTATTTTATTTTTTGATTTTTGGTTTGTAAAAAGGTATGGCTAATGTCACCATAGTTTTTGCTACTATTGGCACATTTTATCATCCATCACAACTTGCCACCTACTTGATATATATATATATATATATATATATATATATATTTTCAATAAAAAAAACCTGTCAATATTTATAATATGTTTTTTTTATTGAAAAAAATGTATATATATATATATATATATATATATCTTTTGTTCTCAAATTTTAAAGTAAAATGTGTTGCAAGACCAATGTACAATATACATTAGAATTAACAAGATTTTAATGATTAAAATGTGTAAATCATTGCTACTGTCTTGGAGTAGATAATGAAGTGGGCTCGCAATATTCAAATGAGTTCCCTCAGCGTTTCCAGTGGCATTACCAAATGGTTCCCAACATTGGATCCAACTCTTCTAACACCCTACATATCATGGGCCTTAAATTTCGTAACCCACACTAATTATCTACACGAGAGCACGAAGGCTCAGAAAATTGGAGTAGGCTAGTAGTAGGAAATTATCCCCGAGGAAGGTCCGCTGGATCTTCGGGGGACCTGATTTGGAGTAAGCCGGACTAAGTTTAGAGTGTAAGGAATTCTTAGGGTAGCCCGACATCGTGGTCTACGAAAGATTAAGGGAGCTTAATTCGTGGATTATGAGCTAATAATACCGCGGAGGGAGCACTAATCAGGGAGGAGAAAGGGAGGCCGGGTGGGAAATGAATGCGAGGCGAGGCCGTGAATGGCCCGGTTACCAGTCAGCTTAGCTGTCTTCTCGCAGCGGCCCCGCCCCGAAGACTCGGCAAGTCAGTCCCCAACACCAAGGGCAACTACACCACGAGCAGACTACGACCATGTTATTGCGCCTCCCCGCATTCGATCCGCTGCGTCATCGTCTCGCCTGCCGCTCTCATCTCCTGGCCTATGTCTTCTCCTCCACGGAGGTCCAAGTTGCACAGAGAATGGTCGCCTGACGCCCCTGGTCGAGTCTTGCCCACGGGAGATTGCGTTGATTTAGAGGAGCTGTTGCCGCCCGTATTGGGAGAAGGGCGCCAAGAAAGCAAGGCTCCTGCGTGGATGTGAGCGACACTGCGGCTGTTTCGGCGTCGTGTGGTGCGTTTCCGGGTTTTGCAGGGGTAGTGCGTCTTGAAGAACGCTTAATTGCAGCTTTTTTGGCGCTTGTTCGGGGTGGATTTTAGGTTAGGTTACGGTGGAGGTGAAGAAGATATGTGAGAGTTGATTTATGTGTGCGTGCCTCACCATCTAGTTATTTTATTCTTGATAAAGTCTGAAGAGTCTCTTTACTAAGGTCGGAAGTGGAGGTCTAGTTGCGGAGTTCGTGGTGATCTAGGTTTTTGGTTATTTTTAGTTCACCTCAGAGTTTGTGGTGTTGAATTGGCACATTTTGTTGCTGTGCTGGTATTTTTCGTATGCGGGATATCTTTTTTGCTTCCACATGAAATCGGATTCTTGACATGCTGAATGTAGGGTTTGAAATTTTAAAGAGAGCTACAGTGTGAGTGGAGGACCTAAAATTTTCATTTTGGCGATTTAGGCATCTTGTATTAGTTTAAAAACAAAAATTCCGATCTGAGACGGTTTTCTTGGAAGGGAGTTCAAGGCTAGCCTCTCTATTTTAGACGGTGTAGATTTATTCAAGCAGGAAGAAGCGACTGACTTCAGATCTGAAGTGCCCTGTCTTCGCATTTTCCTGTTGTTTTCGTCGATTAGCTCAACACAGATCTTTCTAAAGTGTTCCAGTTGTCAGAGGCATTTACGTGAAGAGTTCTAGCTTGCAGCAGCCCTTAGGATTCCACTGGTTTACTTCAGATTTGCTTAAGAAGTTGATTGTTTTCGGGGATAATAACTATACTAATAACAGCAATAACAATTTAGTGGCTCCAAAACTGTAGCTTTCATGGCCCCGCTATGAGTTATTTTGTATTTGAATGAGCGCCATTTTTGTCTGATATATTACCAAATTAGGTTGTGGGCTGGCCCGTGTCGGTCCGAGAGAGGTAGATAATTCTTTACAGCAATAAACAGTATTGTTTTTATTGATTTTCTTCTGCTGGTATTGGAGATGGTTGGCGACGAAGTGATGCATCGTTGTTGAATATTCGCTTCAGCTTCCAAGGTTAAGCTTAGTAATGTCCCTTGAGTTTGAAAAATTGTACTTACCCGATGCCTTTCTTTACGAATTCCTATTTATTGCATTTTTCATATTCCATCTACTGAAACTTTTTACATTTGTTTTTTTTGCAGACGGTTAAGAAATGACAGATGCTGTGACGACAGAGGCTTTTGTCGAGGAGATTATCTCAGACATCTGGAGCCCCGTCGGTTATCTCATGTCTGAGTCAAAATTTAAAATGTCGAGATAATTACTTTTAGCGCTTATATCGAAATACTCGCATATTGACATCAGTGGGATCTTCTGGATAGTTGTTTTTTGATTCTGGAAGGCGTATGATTTGTTCTAGAAATGGAAGTTGAATTCGATTTGGTGACCAGTTTTTTCAACAGCCTTTTCATTAGTCCGAGTCGAAGGAGTTGACAAAGAAAGAGATTGTAATAAAGCAGCCTGAGAGTGTGGAAGGATGCAGGTTGGACTTGATGGTTCCAAACAATGGTCAAATAGGAGCACTATTAAGACATTTCAGAGTTCGATTTGGGTAGTGGGTGGTGCCACAAGGGCGCATACTTTTACGTCAAGCAAGGAATAGCAGAGTTAGTTTTTGGGCAGATGGTCCAGCTCGAGGAGATTCGACCTGTTTATTTGAAGAGATTGGAATTGAGCCTACCCGTTCATTTCCCGTACATCAATTTCTCGAGCTCTGTAATAGAGCTGGTGGACTCAGATTGTGAAGAAGTCCGTCGTAGAAGTGTAATCTTTGTAGGTGAAATCATTTCTTATGCTGATGGCTAGTAGGGTATAGAGTAGTCTTTAACGTGGAGAAGGTACACTGATGTACGGAGAAGAGAGGAGGTTGGGTGATGCCCCTGACCGGTTCAGCCGTGGATGTGCTTGGTGTTACGACTTTGGTCCTGGTCCTCCTGCTAGTCTGTGCAGGAATAGGATGTATTGCCTACGTCCTCTACTTTCGGGCCCGAATTCAGAAAGAACGTCTATCAGCATTACAGGTGCACAACTACGACATGTATACTCATTGATGTTAATTCAAACTTAATTCTACCTTAAATTTTATTTTCTTCGCTCAAGAAACGGTTATCACAATCTGGTTTCTATTGGCAAATTCTCTTAGACCCAGACAATGGCAGATCTCGTATGGTAGCAACTTGGTTTGTAAGTAGTTTCTAACTTCTGTCTTGGAAGTTTTATGCGAATTTGGTGACTACAGTAGGGTATCTAATCACTTTTCGTAAGGTTTTATCCAGAAGGATGGTCGGAATTAATGCTTATCTGTTACTGTGTACTTCCAGGACTTCAATTCGCTATGGATAGTCCGGATCATTCTCATAGGACTGGCGATTCTGTGGAGTCTAGTCGAGCTTTTACGCCTCCCTTTACTTCGGCGACCGAATTGGGTCCTACATTCTCTGAGCTTCAAATGGCAGGCCAATCTTTGTCGGTTACATATTCTTTCTTCTCTGGGTTTTCTGGAGCCATGCTTCTTCCTTACTGCACTATTCCTTGTACACGGTTCTCTTCGCAAGGCACCATTCACTCCTCGAAAAGATTGGAACGGCAAAGTTGTCGGTCTTATTCTTCTCTGCTGCCTCCCAGTGTTCCTGCTTCAACTTTTCTTTGTTTTCATTAGCCCAAGGGTTGAATTCAAGGGAGGCTCTGGTTATATTCTAGAAAACGAGGGCTATGGTGGTAAAGTCCCGTATTATTTTACCCAAGCATTCGAGAAAGTGATGGTGGATACCCAAGAGGTTGTTATGTGCCGTTATCCTCTTTGGAGCACTTTGGTTCTAGCTGGTTTTGGTATACTTTACTCTGCTTACTTTCTCCTACTTGGCTGGAGGATGGTTGGGGTCGTTATCAACAGATACCTACAAAGGAGATTATATAGCCTTCTAGGAGCACTCTTGCTCCTGCTTCCTTTACACGTGATATTCCTTGGGCTGTCAGTTCTATCGAAACCTACTCGCTTACCATTCGAGTTGCTGAGTTTCTTTGGGTTCATTATGGTGTTGCTTTGCAGCACTATTGGTGAAGGTATCCTTGTGATCAGGCCCATTGCGGATGCACTTGCGGTTACGTGGGTGGTTTATGCTCCGTCTGAATCAGGCCGGGACACTGATTTTCCTGAAGAAGGTCCAATGTCAGTTTCCATGTCGATATTTGGTAGTGACGACGACGAAGCCTCATTGGTTGGCAACGCAAGTCTATTTGCTAAATCTCAATCTCGAACTGCCGACGTTCAGGACAACGAGTACACCTCTGCAAGGAGTTTCTTAAGGCCGTTAGAACGAACAGGGAGTTTCTCTGAAAACAATGTGACCCCTTTCTTTAATCCAGATTCATCTGCGCTACCTGGGAAACCATTGATCGCTCATCATCAACCCCAGAACCCCGCATTCTACCCTTTCTTGTAGAGCATGTTGATTCATCATCGAGAGCAGCTTGTCTGCGCAATGTTGACCCTTCTACAGTAAATGAAAATGTGCTCAAGATTCTCTCATTTTGTTGAGTGGAAGTGTGAACCATGGAACTTTGTGGACAACACGTCATATTTCTGAGAAACATGAGGCGTTCATTTGCTTCAGGGTGTTCGTAACTTTCTGTCGAAGTACAGCAGGTTTTAGGGTTTAGGGTAGCTACATTTCGGCTTGTGTCTGAGCAGGGCTGTTTCACTGTGTGTTATAATCCACAAACATTGCCATAAAACGTATTTCACTAGTTTGCATTCGGTGGCCAGTCAGTGAATTTGGGTGGAAGTAACTTCACAATGAGTAAAAACAATGTACCAACGAAACTGAAACATATTGAGATTGGATGTCGGGTAGGTAAATATATCCTGATGGCAGTAACTCATTGAAAGGTAGCGTTGAGGGAGAGAAGTTTGTGATGTGTTAACAACAAAACCAGGTCCTCAAGGTGATATATACTAGTCATAAGCTGTCATGTGCTGTCATCTACTGTTTTAAGAAGGCTGCTCGAATCTCCAGGTGGAAGTTAGCAAAAGATTCTGAGATTCGCAGATGAGGATTTGGAAAAGCTTCCCAGATTTCCCAACATTCTTGTTCATCTGGGTGATCAACATTCTGTCATCGGCTAGAAGGTTGCAACGATCAATTCCTACCCTGAACAACTGCTTCACAGGCGAAGAGTAGTGGTAAATCGGCAGAACATGTTAGGTGTAGTAGTGAAATTAACTGTTGCTATTGGAATGGTGTGAAGTGTAGCTCGTGGAGATTTTAGGATTTGAATTATTGCGTTTTGCACAAATGAGGGAGTAATATCTATCTGCTCCAGACCCCAATTAATACCGAAATTGGAGATTGATTGCGTGGTATGTCTTATTGAAAAGAAGCCAAGTAAACATTATAGATTATGTCAAAGGCTATCAGCTATTTGATCGAGATATCTCTACATACAAAACTATACAGAATGTGATGGATTATCTTTTGACAATTAGAGAAAACCAAAAGCACCACCCAAAGAGAGCTAGAGTAATCACTGATTTAAAGCTGTGGAGTTCAACGTGAGTGTCAAGCTATCCAATGCGTTCACACCAGCTTGAACACTAGTCTCGGATGTTGCTCCAGAGCCACCAGATCGCGTGTGCATGAAAAGAATGAAGAGGAACCAAGAATGCAGAAGGAAAATGTAAAGCAAAGCAAGAGCGCGAGCAGAACCACTGGTTCGCAGAATTCTGGCGCCCCCTAGGAAGACAGAGTCCACCTGTCGTGCTAAATGCATCCATGGATGGGACCCCGGTGGCTGGTTGAGAATCATGTCCGGATCTGTACCCATAAAAGAGTATTTATCCTTGGAGCTGTAAGGTTTGCTTAATCCATACTCGAGGTCATCATCACATGAGGACCAATCTGTTGCGACGTTGGCACCTTTGCTGCGCTTTGATGCTCTTGATTGTGTCGCTGATTTTTCCATTCTCAAGGTATTTGAGATAGCCTGCATGCATGATTTAGTTAGATTGCTGTATGAGAAGCGTATTTGCTTCAACTAGTTCAAAATGAAGCTTATAAATGACATCTTCAACAGAACATGAAATTTGGAAACATCAACAGCGAAGGTGAGCAGCGGTTGAACAGATCATTTTACGTTGTTAAAAACCAACAATAAATGGATGAAGTATAAAATACTAAAATAGCTCATACTTAAGCTACTGATAGTTTTATTTACCTCAAGTCTGAAATGAAGGGTGGCTTTCTCAGTAGATAAAGCTTCTACCTGCAAACAATTATGACATAAATTGCTAACACTAGTTACATATCTGTAGTTACATCCGACTTCAAAGCCAACATGGCCAACGACTTAAACCTCCATTCTAACTCTAGTTGCAACTCCATAGAACCGTTTCCATGAAGTTGAAAATATTTTCAGGATAAAATGTTACGAAATACACGAACTTTTGACATTTGATTATGGTTCTGAACTAAACACACATCCTGAGCTTGTCTTTTACCTGAGACTGCTTCTGAATAAGGTGGTCCGTGAGCTGATTTAGTCGTGTCTCCAGCTCCAGTTCCATGACAGAAGGTGTGTAATGTGCATCTCTTGCTATGAAGATTTTTTCTTCAAGCTGCTTAGCCTGTTGAACATATTTCACAATTACCAATGACGCGTTTATACAGTTCTTCACGCAAAACAAAAACCACATTAAGAGACCTGAAAGAAACCTGTTGACAAAGGCTTGTACATGTACCGGTATGGAAAAGGAAGTAACCACATAACAACTGAGCAAGTTTATTAGTCTATGCTGCCCACACCTTATTTTGGTACTGCTCAAGTCTGGCAGTTAGCGTTGCATAATGCTCTTCAGCTACTTCACGTTCAATTTTGGTATCATGTAGTTCCTACGACCATCAATGCAGAGAAAACACCTTAATTTTAAGATAAAAGCATCAAAACTATGACCTGAAGATGTCCAGAATTTTCAGTATTATTTTTATATACTTGTATCTTATATTTTATAGCTTTTTGAGATGTCATTCACTATGAATTTAGTATGGATTAGCACTAGTTAAATATCCTAAAGAATGATACCCAGGAAGTGCTATGTACTCTTAACAGTACATGTGAAGTACATAAAGTCAGTTCATCCTACCGTCTACGTCGCAATCGTCTCAATATGGTCATGAGCAAACTACGTCACAACTGTTCAAGTTGTGAAAAAAATGTAGCACTATCGAGACAAGAACTCAAAAATCATGCACGACTTCAGCTGACGAGCTTCTAGTCTAAAGCTCGAACCGATTGAATAGTAAGAATATACTGAGATAATTACCTGGGATTGAGAGGGGGGTGAAAGTCGATATTCAAGAAGTAAGATCTTCCGCTGCAGATCTGCAGAAGAGCCGAGAAAAACCAATAATCTATTTAAATCCAGTATCAAGCCATACACAAATTCAAAGAGACCGATTAGGGCCCAAATGAAAAGCTGTTTCAGTGCTGGATACCAAACCAGGTTTCCCTGATAACTTAATTTAGCGTATCGTGACTACAAGAGACATTAAATCTACAAGACTGGCCGTTGAATAGTTGCGCTCGATACATCAGCGTTTCATAACATGAATCTGAACATCTGGAATTTAATAGGCCTAAATGGTTACCAGATTGTACGATCTCCCTGGCTTCCACCTTGCTACGTGCCAATGCCACTCTTGCACTCTGTACTTTCAAACATTAAATCATTAAGTCTGAAAGTCTTACAAAAATACGCAGCAGGTCTTCAGTCGCAAAATAAACCAGGTTAGACAGCAAAACACAACACAAGTGAACTATTCAAATACAAGTACATCTTGATGGAAGTGATATTGTAATGGGCATGAATGTCGAGAGTTAAAAGCGTACCTCATCTTCCAGATTCCTTTCTGCAGCAGCAAGGGCTTTTGCCAACTCCTGGTTCTTGGCCTGAGACCAAAGCCGGGCGGCTTAGTAGAGATTATTACTGATTAACAATTGGATCCCAAAGAAAAAAAAGAACAAAAGTGACAAATCATAAAAGAATGTAAAAGACTTCCATAGTTAGTGATTTCAGTTGAAGGAAAAAGCCACCAAAACTATCCAGTGCCAAAGACATTACACAGCAACTGGTCTCAAATTTCTACAACATACGCTGAAATGATTTGCAAGTGAAATAAAACCGCAAACTACAACCATCATGCAGCCTGCAACAAAGTGATTAGCGAATATGGAAATCAACCTCAAGTTGAGCTTCTCGAGCAAGTCCTTCACGACGTGTAACTGCATGACGTTGTCTTTCAACCTCCACTGCTTCAGATACCTCCTTCATGGTAAGGTTGAGCTCCTCTGCCTAAATAAATATCCAGGAATATAAGCATTTATAGAGTAGAAAACTTCACCTATTTACATTATGTAAACCAATTGATCTTAAATGGAACTCCGATACAAGAACAATGTGGCCTCTTCGGAATCCCATCACATCCTACATTAAATCCGGTGAGTTAGCTCCAAGCTTAGCTTTCCACAATGAACTTACCTCTTTGACCTGACGTTCTTCCCACTCAGCAAGAAGTTTTTCTAAATCCTCCTTTTCCTGCTCCAACTGGGCAACCAACTCCTCACGGTGTCTTATAGCTGCCCTAGCAGCCTCAGCAGCAGCCGCCTTTGCAGCACGCCGCTCTGCTAGTTCCTTTCTCCTCTCTCTCCTGCGTCTCACTCTCTCTTCATATTCTGGAAAAACCCAATTAGACAGACCCTGTAAGCATATTGTTTAATGGCTACAAACACAATAGAATGTGCTATGCGTCCGAAGAGGAATATAAATATCAGGAAATCCGCAGTATAGAAAATGTCAGCAGAACATCTGTCACATTCTAAATTCTGTACAACTCTGAACTCATACTCAGGACGAAGAACATATAGAGTTGGCAAAATCTACTAATGTTAACATTAGGTGTCCACTGTATGAAGCAGCATGAGTAAGGGACTTCGGTAATGGGAAAATAGCAGCACCTGAATCTGATTCACTACCACTTCCGCTTCGACTCTGCTCTTCACTTCCAGATAAACTAGAATCGCCTGAACTTTCACCACTTGCTTCGTCAACATCTGAATAAAAATATCCTGTCAGTGTCTAGAAAGAAGGCCACAAAGAAGAAACATACAGCCTCTTTTTAATCGACAGTCCCATCACCCACGACCAGAGTTGAGGATGAGAATGACATAATTCGGTGTCAAAAGCATTCTAGATACAGGATGGGCAATACAAATCAGCCACAGGCGAGACAGAATGTGCTATTGTTAATGCCACCAATTCACCACATGATCATCTCGTAATACATCACCGTAAGTTCAACATTGCAGAGGTAAGGATTGATTTGATAAAACTGAAATACTAGTATCTGACCTTGAACGTTCTGATCAACATATATCGGAACTTTGATTTCCTCATCGTTGCCGCGTTTGTCAAGAGGATGCTCCTGGTCACCGCCGCTCTGGCGAATGTTATTTCCAGCCTCAATTCCGACTCCGTGATTTTCTTTCTCATCAGTGGGAGGGACATCATCACTGTTTATTAGAGTTGAATGATCCCCACTCTTAATCTCGTCAACAAGGACTGGAGATTGTCGTGGCGAGATCAAAATTGAGTCAGGGACGATCTCAACAACATTGTCTCTTCCACTTTCTTCCAGGATTGTCTCCTTGGAATTCTTTGCATCTTCGGGCATAGAAAGTTCTAATTCAGTAAATTCTCCATCTTCGTAAGTGGGCTGAACAAATGGATCTACGACAATGTCCGCCTTACTAGTATGAGAGAACGTATCCTTAAGTAATTCATTCGGGTCATTTTCAACAGTCCCTTCAACGAACTGTGCACTGTATTCAAGTCTCCAAGGTACATTATCTTCCTGAAAAAACATTAGAATTATTAAAGCCAATGCTCATAAGCAACAGAACAGAAGCTGAATAACATTAAATAGGACGGCAATACAACAAGTAACTCAAAGAGCTTGGCGCAGGACTCGTCAGACTTGCATAGAAGGAAAACCAACAAACTATTGTCTCACCTCCTGGTGATTGTTTGCATTTCGGTGCACATCTGAAGCTCTGGCTTCCGTTACAAATTTACTCGGGCCTTTAGTCCGAGAAGTTTGCACAGAAGAAGGCTTAGAGGGCCCTGCCCCACCAAGGCTCATATCAGAAATTGGCGTGGATTCATTAGCCTGATACGAATTTGCGAACAATTTTCCCGCTGGAATGCGAAAAGCGAATACTGACATTATTCACTCGATCATTTTGCTAAATCCACGAGCAAATTTAACAATGGCATAAATAATAATAATAATAACAATTCATCTGACAATATGAAGTGTAACCAAGAGACGGCTGTCGTATACCCAAAAGCTTATGATAATTAATCACCTGTGTGAAAAGCTCGTTGCGACCCGCCCCTGGAAGCACTTTGAGAGCCCCCAAAGTCGGTGCTACCCACGCTACTAGAAGATTTTGATGCGGGAAGAGCTGGGGAGAGGTCATTGGATCCCAACAGCTCTGTCCAATCGTGCTTGCCAAAGTCATCCTGCTTTGATGGCCGAGGAACATCCTCACTATTCCTTGTTCCAATAGGTGGCTGATTACGTATGGAGGGTCGGTACTTCCCATTTCCTAAATTTAAAGAAGTTTAAAGGAGCGTGAGTACAAGAAACCAATGGTATACCTAGTACGAGCCGAAAACAACGTTCAGCTGATTACGAAATACCTGCATGGGAAGGTAGATTCAAGGTCTCAGGTCTTGAAGAATTTGCATCCTGTTGGTCGTTGTTTGCACGACGACCGACTCTCAATACTTCTGGACTAAGAAAGCTGGTGAGATCCTTATCAGAATTTTGAAGTTGTTCCTTTGTTATTGCTGCTTGTTGGTCAATCTGTGAAAGGCCACAGACCATATTTCAAACACTGCTACGAAGGCATCGGAAGTTCAATACTAAAACGGTCAACACAGACCACAGCCAGCGGCACTTGATTTGTAAGGAAACAGTCATCAAGGCAAATGAAATTTGCTCCTCCAGAGCGCAATGCTACAATTCAGCTAGAAAAACATGGAGGCAGTTCCTGAAGGAACACATAATTACAGGACCTCGTGTGTATGTATGCTTCAGATCCGTAACACAACAGCACTTACGAATCGAGAGAAATTACAATGTACACCAGCCCCCAAATAAGTTCCTCACACACCGGATCGGACAAGGGTTACCCAGACCTCCGTAAGCGCCTGAAACTATTGAATGCTACCCTCACTGTTCACTCTATCCAACCAAAATCTTCATGCGAAGAGGCAAAAATCATCAATGCGATTCCGCCACATAAAGCAATGTCTTTAGAAAAGCCCGAAACAACACGAAATGCTTCTGACTTCACAACCCAATACCAGCAACACGTAAGATTTCGCAAATACAAAATGCCATGGTAACAAACTTCAAAAACCTAAACAACACCAACACGAGGCTCGGGAACAGAATCGAAACTAGAACAATTCCCGACTTCTAACCCTCATACAAAACGCAGTGCTGTAAGATCAATTCAGGATTCTCGGATGCAATCCCCTCAAATACAACCCCGAATTGCAGGACGAGAGAGAGCGTCTGTGAGAATGAGACCCCACCTGCTGGAGGAGTTGCTCAGCGGCTTTGAGACGCGAGGAAAGCCAGCCAGCCATGGCGCAAATTGGACCTCGGGTGTGGGATCGACCCTTGGTAATGGAAAAGAGCTCACATTTGAATCTCACACTTGAATCTGCGACAACAGTTTGTTGCTTCTCGACGATGAATCTATGATCTTCGCGAACTTTGCAACCCTCGCTCGCTCGCTGGGGAATGAGACTGCGGCGGAGTGAGAGCAGCAATCCCTTTACACCCCCCCCCCCCACAGCGTATTTTCACTCGTTCATTCATCCACTTCTCATTCGTTCGTATTTCATTTCGTTACTGGATGAACGGTTTTCTCTCTGTCATTCTTCATTCATCCTCTTTCATTCTGTGGAGCTTTCGAGGATGCTTCTTTTGGTTTAATTTAGGATCATTTTTACGATTGAAAAAATCGTATTTTCATTTTGGAGCGTGAAGGTTTGGAACCTCTAATTCTCATATAATTTTTTTGGATTAATTTTTTTAAAAATAAAATAAAAGACAAAGTTTTGATGATGATTTTATTATTAGGTTTTTATTGAATGAAGGTGTGTTGGTTTTCAATCCGTTTTTTATTTATAATTTTATCTGTGGTTTTGGTGAAAATTCTTTTTGATGATGGATGGATATAAGAAGTTGTGACGTGTTTAAGAATTGGTAGATTTAAACAATGTAATTTTTTTTAAAACCATTTAGAATTTTGAAATTCCTTAGATCAAATTTCTTTTTTATGTTGTCGAAGTGTTTCATTTATTTATTTTTTCCTCTAAAATATATTTCTGAAATTTTCTTGAATAGTCGACAATGTGGTGGTGACATTGTTTTGTGTTCATTTTAATGTTTATTATAATTTATATGTTACAAAAGACAATAGAAAACAAACAAACAAAAAAAATAAAGAGTTTAATGAATTGATGTAAAAAGATTTCATTAACAATTTCTGTAATATATATTACAATCTATATCATGGAAAATCTGACGAAAAAATAAAGTTTCCTAAAGTTTTTTTAAAGTACGCTTTTGTTTTCATAAACAAGTATAACAATTTTTCTCTAAATATATATCTAAATATGAACACACACCACTATTTAAACATAATTAAGCAATGAGATATCGAAGTAGTTTATTTTAAAAATATTTAGGTCCCAGAGAATTCAAATACCTCTTATGCTTTCACTTTTAAAATATCATTTCATAAAATATTCCATTCTCAAGAAACCAAAATGAATATATAAGTATGTTTGAATGTATGCACTTTCTTTTACATTTACATATATTTTGATGATTACCTTTGAAATTCTTTTGGTGTTGATGTAATTCATCTTACAAATTTAACAATAAAAGAAAAATTATAACAATATATAGAACTCTATTGTATATTTATGTAATTTCGTCTCCATGATCTCATTCATGTTTCTATAGTTGCTATTCTTGCTTGTACATCTAAAATCGACATTCTCAATTATTTCCAAAACTGTTCCAAGCACATATATATATATATATATATATATATATCCTTCAAATGCTTCAAATCCCAACATGAGATAAAATGTAGCAATATAAAATTTAGCCGCAAATCACAATTATACTGCCATCATGGTAACAGCTACTATGAGCTAATTCCCAGTTTCATGTTCATGTGAACTTGCATCTAACCAACCGTATTCCTACCCAAGCATGTTCATCAATAAACAATATTAACAAAGGGATTCATGTAGCTTTATGGAAAAAGGAATAGTTGATTAGACAAGCCATGAGCATTGACTATAGGTTCATTCTCAAGACCTTTATTCAAATCTGCACTTCTCCACACAAGGACATAAAATGAAGTGTGCTTTTCTGGTGTCTGAACCAAGTTACTGCAAACTAATTTTGTCATTCTAATGCCAGCAATGGAGGGGACAATGAAGGCTCAATCAATAGTATTTTCAACTGTCAGGACTAGTGTTTTAATGTAACAAATTGAAGCTGTCAGTAAACATGAATCATTTACAGGAGAACCGGCTGTGGTAGTGTACATGTGGGCTCCCAAGAGACCCCTCCGAGCTTCGTGTAATGATCCTTCCAAACCTGCACTGTACAAAACTGGGTACCTTTGAGTTATGGAATCAAACCACCTTCTTCAGCAAGGCTCCAGCAGCAGATGGGTCCAAGGCAAAGTTTTAAGCTGTCATGTGGCGTTTCTTACATTCACCATCTGCATGATCACGAGCGACCGTCAGAAGCACACAAGTGCACATGTGAATCGGGTGATAAGAGCAAGACTTGCCCGTCAAATACAATTGAAGGCCAGCAAAGAAACAGGGATTAAACATACCTTGGAGAGGTACAAGAATGTAGCGTGTGAGTGCTTCACAAGAAGGCTAGGTGGGAAGACGTCATCCACAACATCCACGTCAACCTCAGGCCACTTCATCAGTCTAGGATCAGTGATATATATTGAAAGAGGGACGTCCGGATTCAGCTGATCGCCAATCAAGTGGCGAAGCATGAAGCGCCTGAGAATGCCGAAGAACAGTTCTGCAGAGATTTTGGGTTCCTCTGCATCTGAAGATTGTGTAGGATGTAGCCACGATCTTTTCAACTCCACAGATGAGTTCAGCTCTTCCTCTAAGTCCGGTGATAGGGGTGTCCGATAACGGAGGTTGACTAGAGCTTGAATATCAACACCAGCGAGGTCCTCTAAACCTTCGTACAAGCTTACAACATGTTGGAGCTCAACCATTTTAAGTGTATGCATTTGAATGAGATGAAAAGCTTGGTCCCCAAGCCACCGCCGGCAATAGCTCTCGAGCTTTTCAACAGGATCACCCCCTGTTCGTCGAAGAAAACCGAGGCAAACGTCGAGTATTACTAAGCATTGTCCTGCCCCCACGCCGTCATGCTCAATCTCATTCTGTATTTGGAGGAGAATCTCGGGTCCGAGTACAATCTGCGGTATAAGATTCCCGACATCCGATAGAATTGTCATGTGCTTGTGGAACGCCTCGAACTTGTATACGAACGGCTCCCATGCCTTCACAAATGCAGCCATTGAATTGACAAGTGGTTACAAGAGCCTCCCTCACTGACTGCTACGTTGATTACATGCTAATCATCTTTTAAATGCATTCACTGAAGTGTGATACTCTACAGCGCTTATTTTAAGGGCTTGTTGAATGAATCATGCTGAAACTCATGGTCAAAACACGAGGAAGGACTTACCTCAAGACGTGGTTTCTGATCTACAAGCTGATGTTGTAGCTTTTCCGCGATGGAGTGATAGTCATAGATAGGATTTTGGCCTCGGCTGTACTGAAGGTTGGCCATTGCTGTCTGACATACAATGCTCTGTAGCCAATGCTCGTCATAAAAGACAACCTCCTCTGCCTGTGGATAAATGAAGGTGATTGTTACATCATCAATACGGCTAACTGAACTTCCGATTTTCTTGTGATATTTCTTTTGTGGTGTTTGTCACGACAACACTTCATCTGATTGTGCCCTCAGTGTAACATTGAGATTAAAGTAAATGATCTAAATGGAGTCTTACATCATATTCAACAATCCAGGAAAAAGGGATAGTTCTTATCTCAGAACGTTAATGTTTCAAACAGATCCATGCCATTCGTGAAAGATGCTTTTAAAAGGCTATATAAGAACTTTTCAACAAAACAAACAAGGATTTCTTTGATAAAATCGATTGTGAGCCAACCTTACACATCTGAACTCGCAGAGAACGATGACTGCTCTCATCAGTGATTGCCTGGTTGGGCAGAACCAATGCCATGACTTCATCCAGGAACCTATTTTGTATCGCTCTAAGGTAATCCAGGATTGCTGCCAGGTATATTCCGAGATCCCGCGGCTCCACCAAACAGAAGCCAACACTAGAATCCAAATTCATGACAGGAATGCCTTGCTTAAATTGCGTGCACTCGAATGCTTCTACTTTGAATCGCATCACATTCCACGCTCTTGCAAATTCCGGAAAATACTTCCGAATATGCCTGCACATATCGAGTAAAAGGTCAATGACTGCTGGACCCTAAGAAGACATGTTACGGAACGGGAAAATTGACATTCGAGAACAGAACATGCACATCCTTGGCGCAGTAAGAGATATAAAGTCCTTTCGTGTGTCAGATATGATTCAAGTGAAAACTTAGTAAAAAACTGAAAAAATTCGACTTACTGGTCATTGTCACCGAGACCAGATAAATATTGGCCAATAGAGATAGATGATGCCTCAGGACGGGTAATTTTGGACCAAAGTTGCTCATTGACAGCTTTGGTGAAAGGCAGAAGACCCAGGAGTTGCTTCATTTCGCTCAATCTACTCATGTGGGCGAAGAATCGTTGAATGATGGGATATTTTATTTGTCTTGCTTCATCTTGCAAGTACATCGCCTCGAAGTTCTTCAAATCCGGCAGGGTAATGGTTCGCGCAAAATAAGTTGTTGCAACTGGAAGCGGAGGAACACGGCGCTCTTCTAACAGTTCTGCCAATTCATGCTTACCCCGATGTTTTCCAACATACTCCGCTGCTGCCTGATGCGCATTGTCTACTAACAGCGTTTTCACTATACGATCAAATTTCGTTTCCCATAAATTTCGTTTCTCTGGAGTTGATAAACTTTCATGTGATATATCAACTGAAAGCGCCATAGATGCCACAACACTATGCATGAATTGACATGTCACTCCATGATTGCAATTTAGAAGCTTGCCAAGCATCGCCAGGTCTTCTTCTATCATTTTTTCCATCTCTTTGAGCACAGATGACTCGGCCACGCTAAGTGCTGCTGCCAACTTGCTCGCATTCCGTCCCATGTACAAACCTAGCAAGAGGCAGTAATTTACGACGATTCGAAGGGTGCGATAAGACTTCATCTCAAGTCTCCGAACTGTGTGGTACGGATGGGACCTTGCATCGTGATCTGGTAAATAACCTGCCAATTCAAAACGACTTTAGAAATTTAAATTATTGCTGGAATAAGGGATTTTAGTACTTTTCTTAAGTGAATGCATGTGCAAGCATAGCCTACCGTAAACTTGGGAACAAATTGAAGAAGGTCATAAACGCATTTTTGACGATTTTTCCTCTAAAATGTCAAGCTCATTTGAATATAAATTAGCTTCTTTTTGAACACTTGCTACCTGCTGTCCTCTCAGTCTGGCGCTTTTACATACGATTCTAAGTTTTTAATGAGCATACCTGTGTTCATGGTGCCAATGTCGATCGCATGCTTCATGTTGCCCCGTACTGGCGTATGGCTCGATCCGCCAATCGTACCACCACACTGGGGGCATTTAGCAGATTGCATCGGCAGTGTACATTCACCGACCTCGTATATATAGCCACAGATATGTTTGTAGGTTCCAGCGGTCGAGATCGCTCCAATAAACGAAGAAAATACGTTATTTGGTGTGGCTAAGACGAAGTCTTTAACCATGTGCTTTTCATTTAAAGTCATGTACCCCTAGATAAGAGTGAGAAAATACCAATATACAACTTCAGTACTCGTAAAATTTCATGATAGGACATCTATCAGAAGAAATTTACATATTTATCAAAGATAACTTGTGGGGACCAGAAGTACCACCGTTTAGCTAAGAAATAAGATATCTACCAAGAGCTGTTCTACTGGATTAAGAGCTCACCTGAAGTGGAGAGTTGGATGGAAACGACGTCACTACCAGAAATATGTGAGCTGCGAGTGCTTTGGATTGCAATGATTCTGCGGTGGTCGTGTTACCACCGAGGCTAAGAGGGTTTGTGTCAATGAGAAAACGGATGGCATCTTTCCACTTCTCGTTCCAGCGCTGCAGAGTTGCTTTCTGTTGGAGCCAATTCACAACGGCCAATTCTGCATCATTAAGCTCACGTGAAGCCTGGACAAGAAAAATCTTGCTTGCAATCGCGCTTGCAAATGCACTTTGCTCAGTTGGGTGCAAATTATGTATCTGCAACTTCATCTTCTCCTGATTCTCACCTTCACTGTAAACGGTTTTCCAAAGTAGCACGTCGTTCTCACCATAGTTGGAGAATATGGACATAAATGGATTAAACCCTAGTGGATTATCCACTTCCTTCAGCATTTCCCGATCAAGAATATGCGAGTAGAGTTTGAGATGCTCATTCGTTTGGCATTCACACGCCAAGTGACTCATCATTTGTAGCGAGAGACCGCAGTGGTGATAAAGTACTTTCATCAAGTACTGCTTCATGGATATAACATTAACATGACACTTAGCGAAAAATTCACCCAAGACTTCGGAGGCGGCAGGAGCCAGGCCAGGATGGAAAATTCTAGGTTCCTTCTTCTGCACAGTCACCATGTCTCGCGCGAGAACTTCCATAATGCTGCGAAGAACTGCAAAGGCGCACGCAGCACGGAAGTTCAATCTTCCTGAGGGGAGCTTCACCACGCTTGTCACAACACGCAAACACTGGAGAAATTTGTTAAACTTGAATGCTTCTGTGTCCACTCCCGACAAAAGCTCCGGGGTGATGAAGCCCCGCACAGATTCGTAAATTACATCGCTGAGAAGTATGAATGGTTCATACACATCGCTTTCCCAAGCCTGTTCCTTGATCACATTACTGCAGTTAACGAAGCAAAGTTGCAGAAAATGGGGACAATCGAGTGTTGGCGTTGGTATCAGGAGCTGCACGACCGTCTTCAGAAAACGAAGCATGACGCCCTTCATCGAGCACGTTGGTGCTTTGAGATGAAAAATCACAGCACTGATTGTGGATATCACATCTTGAGATACGCTGTTTGAATCGAGGAGCAGGGAGAAAGTAGATGCAACGAACCGAAAGTACATTTTTCGGCGTAAACCTTGTTGAGTATTCAAGTCCGGCAAAAGACTTATGATTTTGGTGACGAGTAATTTACTACAAGGTTGTAGGTTGTGACGCAGAAACCAGTGTGACAAGCTGCATAGGTGTTCGGAAGCAACAGATAATGGCAAAATGATCAACTTCGCGAAATCCCGCACCACGCGAAGCATCAACATGATGGACACGTGCGTTGGCTCTTCAATATAAATGCTAGGAACCAGGCTGATCAGAGCTTCGAGCTGGTATAGCCAACGTTGTAAGCCTCCGGCCCTATCAATAACTTCTTTCTCCGACGGCAGCATCTTCAAAATACATTTTGAGGCAAATTTGTTATCGAAGTACTCCTTGAACACTTTGTCACGCTTGAGCAGTTCCACCTCATCTGATATCTCGTTTTCAGTGAAACATGACCCGGCCACAAGAGCTTGGGTTTTTAATTTCTCCAACTTGGTCCAAAGAAGCGCATGGAGCACCAAGGGTTTGGGATCAGGAGCTTTTCCCCTTAGCAGCCATTCAAACACTAATGCCTGCGGGGCAGTGCGAATCTTTGACTGGTATGGAGCGTATAGCATACAAAAATCATGACAATAGTCATCTGGGCTTGCTTGGATACATTCTTCTATTTCCCGCATTTTTGGATTATCTAAGAGTGACACAGTGACGTCCTTGGTCATACTCAATGCAAGAGAAACAACCTCTTTGTCCTGCTTGCCCGAAATACGAGCGAGAAAGACCTCCCGCATTTGCTTGTCTATATGTTCGGCATACAAGGAGCTGAAGGGGACATACAGGCTTACGGGATCCTTGATTGTATACCCTTCCGGGTGCATGGGCTCAGGAACATTTTCGATACTGACCATTTGCTGGTCCATGAAGACCGAGCGCCACAAGTCTTTTCTGGCGTCGGTCATGTTGAAGTAAGACCCCAGGGCAGAGTGACTCTCCAACACATAAATCAATCTCGCAATAGGCTCCCGGAGCTTCTCCTCGACGTACGTTATGAGCGCAGAGTGCAGGTTCAATGCAAGAGCTAATCGACCTGGGTTGCAAACAACTGAAGTCTGCCAGAACTTCCCTATCTCCTGTTCTTTCTTGGCGACCGCATCCAACCAAATCAGTGCTCGTTGAACAAAGCATTCGCATAAATGCTTATCATTGCAAATTCTCTGAACCATTTCCAGACAGTAGTTCGCGGATTGTTTCCCACGGGGATACTTGATGCATAAAAAACTCCATGTCAGAACTTTGACCATAAGGTTGTTACCTTCACGGAACCTCTCCGATCGAACTAGGTCGGCAATGCTCTTGTCCAAGTATTGCCTGCACAATTATTACAAAATATCTCGTCAATGAATTTGTTATAAGAATCACTTGTAACTTGATCAACGCATTGATATACATTACAGTTAAGTCGTCTGTAGAAGAACATCAAGAAGAGGGATAATTTTTCTCATACTCAGGCAAATAGCATACCAGAGCGAGAATTGCACGCCTCTGAGTTGTTCTGGTTATGAAGAAAATATCAAGTGATCAATTAAGCTTCAAGAACTTGCTCTAAAAGCGCGGCAACAACCACGGATGTTTAAGGTCAATGCAAGAGAATTAAAAATACCAGTATTCTGTATTCGCTTGATGTAGCAGGTCAAGAGTGAGTTGCTTCCATCCACTTAAAAAAGTAAATGATGACGCTATCTCTTGCTCTCCCCTATGACTGTGCAAGATAAAAACCACGTGTTTTGGTCTGGTATGGCTCTGGGCCTGAGCGAACAAATCAGCTCGTGTCCTTTCAACGTGAACCTTCGCTAGAGGTAGGTGGTCTTTGTCCAAAATAGTGTCTGATTGTACAATCAATAGTTCACTGTCGCTCTTTGACCAGCTTTGAATGGCTGCTACTAACTGCCTCTCAGCCGTGAAATCAGCAAGCTTGATTATTTGCAACTGCTAGAGAGAAGGCAATCCAAAATGAGTGCTGCGTTGCAGTTGAAAAACAAGTGAATAAGAGAGGATATGACTGACAAGAGTTGCATGATCCCAAACAGTAAACCCCAGGAATCATCCATATTTTCGGTTCATTTTTAAGACGAGGTAACTTATATGAAACAGTCAGAGGTTCAAAACATTCATGCCTTATTTACTTGTGCAAGTAACTTCCAGTGAAGGCCTTACCTTTAGGCAATGGAGGTCTTTCAAAACCAACCTAATGTTAGTGTGGACGTTGCATCGCGTCGTGACGACTAACTTAAAGCCTAAACTATTGTACCATAAGGTTTCATCACCAACCTGGATCAGACGAAGCAAATTAGTGGTACGTATATGTACAGGGTGATTTGCGAAGGTGTCAGCTCAAATACTTTGAAAGCCAAGAGTAAAACCAAGCACGAAAAATTATGACTCACGCAATTTTTGAGATTAAACTCAAGATGGAATCATTTCTTACATGCTGGCGAACCGCGTATTCAAGAGATTCTTGATTTATCATCCCCTGAAAGTAGTGCTTGGTCCATGTTTTCGCGTCCGGAGCATCCCGTAGACATGTCCTAGAGTAGTGTGCTCGCATCATACCATCTATGTATGCAGTTTGTAGTAATTCCTCTTTGCACCTGTCAAGAAAAACTTCTAGTTAACAACGATTGGAACTCTGCCTCACCGCGTCCATAGGCATCTGATCTATGTGTCGATAGTTGCGTACATGAACAAGCCTAACAAAATGCCCAATCATGCAAAAAATGTCGAATCTAAGAATATGACCCCACACAGTAGCAAGTGCTTTTACATCGTTGGATCTGTAAACACGAGAGCATTGACTTCAATGATCCATAAATTGCCGTTACACATATCTAAGTATAGAAAGGCGATCCAGAATTTGACATGCGTTGGATGGACTTGAAGATGATGCAAAATACCTGAATTCTATTGCAAACCGCGTCACGTTAATCGTTTCAGAATTTTGATGTGGTCTATATAGAGTAGAATACTGATAAAATTAAAAATATGAACTAAAAGGGAGCAACTGTACCTCTCAAGGAAACAAGTTCCTCCCGATATGGAGTATGTGTCCCAATTTAGCAATATCAGGGAGGCTAATGTATCAGTGGAATAACCGGCAAATAAGTCACTTTCGCAGAAAGAGATTCCTTCAATTTCACTGTCACCTTCGGATGTGCATGCCATCGCTTTTACCCATTTCTTGAGGAACAATACATTTTCCCTTTGCTCTGGTGATAACACGCTCTCCCAGGTCAAGACTTGCTTCTCAAATCGATTCAAGAATGGTGGGTCAAGACTCTCCACTTGATCCTGATCCACGACAGCGATGCAGCGAAAATTCTCGTGCACATAACACATTGGGTTGCTAAATGCCCCAATTGCAATACGACAATTCTGGCGACCTCCCACTGTTATGTAGTGCTGGTTCAGCATGTCATACAACGATGACCATATTCTTTCGACTCCCTTCAGCACTATGTGCCTGGAAATTCATAAGGTTTCATAGCGTGTAAACATTATCACGAAATATAAATCCAAAATTATATCCTCACGTCATGACGACAGAAGCAACCCTACTGCTAATGAGCAAGACTGCAAATGTCCACTAGTTTTTTGGAGCTATCAGCAACTACTCCAACCAAGTATGTCTGATTGTGGCATTAAGATCTGTCTTCAGCTAAGACGCAATAGAATAAACTGGCAACCTTCATCCCTTAAAATTGAGAATATCTGTGAGAAAATTCACCTCCCATGTTCCATGTGCAGGATTATGTTGCTCAGCATCATGTACGCATAATCATCATTGTAGTCATTCTTGAACTTGCTGCCTTGTATAATGATAAGCTTCTCCTTTAGCGGCAGCATAGTTTCTATGATCCCAATGCAAGACTCCCCCTGAACCGTATAACAGCCATAAAATATTCATAACGTCATCATGTTGCACGATGAAAATACTTGCTTCAATACGAAATGCTGCAGTTGTTAACAAACTTCAGACGCACCTAAAAAACAGAAGGACAACAACGGTTATGCTTAAGGAGGTTCTTAGTTCAAATGGGTAACGTACATTGCCAATCAACATCAGATGGCGAGCATGTTGGTCTTCAATATTCGCTTTCACCAAGTCCAATGTAGGAGGAGGTACAAATTGCCGATGCTTGAAGTACTCACAAAGGATGGATGTGAGAAGGGGAATGTCATTGAGAGATCCTCCGAAGTTCCTCCACACAGCTTGTTTCAAGCAATCGGGACTCCATTTCTTGGGATTCTTTTCATCACCCCGCAGAGACTTGATGAGCGAGTAAAAGTCACGAAGGCCGTGGAAGTCTGGCTTTGACTGACGAACATGGTATTCGTGATAGACCTTGGCTAACCATTTCATTTCTGTCATTTGGGCAACGCCAAAGAGACTACGCATCCCATAGCTGTCTAGAATTGCCTCGGCTGTGCCCACAAGATCATTTACGGATGGGTCGGGTTGTGAGATATGGATGGCTCGGTTCATTTTCGCTGCATCCAAGGACCAGTTGCTAATACCGATGACAGCAACTCGCTGTTCACCTTCAGGCTCCAAGAGAGAGTGCAATACCTGTATAGCCACTCACAGTGTATTCACCTAATGGTTTACATACCATGGATTTGAATGCCAAATGCTAAGAAAACATGACACATCATCGACAAAACGATTGTACGTTAGCTTTCATAGTATCGTGTTCATTCTTTAACATATCTGGATTAAAATTTTCAACCATGATATTTAGTTGGAACTCGGATGTTACCTTCAAGGGATTGCTGCTTGATATTTCAGCAAGACCAACCTCATCGAGTACTACCACAACTATTGCTTTCACATTCTTTTTCTTGTTGTCTTGTACACAGCGATGTGCCTTTTCGAAGACCTGCACAACTCGTACATAATACTTTCATACAAAGATAAAATGTGCGTGTGTTGTGCAGAAGAGGGGATGTTGAATCTGCAAGCTATGATGCATTTTAATGGCTGTAAGATGAAGAGGATTGCTATAGTATTACCTTAAGAATGCCTTCAGAAGTCGAACTTTCGGAGCCTTGATAAGAGAACATGAACATTGTGGGTTTCTCGCTGAAGTACGGGTCTTTCATCCCGCTTCCTCGCAAGTTGCTGCAAAGAACTTTCTGTGTTACTTTTAACTTTTTTGACAGCGTGATCAACCATCAAATCGGCAAATCAGAAGCCGTATGGTCCACTAATCATTAGGTCACACTCAAGCTTGAAAGCTGGCTTAATATATTGTATTGAGCTGCAACAATGACAAGGATGAATTCCTCTGGACAGATACCTGAAAATAAGCTGTAACGAGAGCGTCTTGCCAGACCCAGGCTTTCCCACCACAAATAGCGGTATCTTCAGCAAAATGCATGTCAGGGTGACAAAAATGTTCTCTCGGAGTGCCTGGTTCTTAGCAACTCCAGGTGGAATCTCCATGTGATCTAACAAATTCATCTGCTCCTCAAACAACTCTTTGTCGAACTTCTCAGTGTAAGATCGCCGCGCAAACCTCTTTCTGCAACTCAATCAACCCACTTAAAATCGTGGTCCTATCATGATATATGGATTTGAATGCAACTTTATTCCTAAAGCTGGAGCATGATGCAAACGTAGTTTCTCAAACTATCCTGAATGGTCTTCATCAGTCCTCCAGGCAATGTAAATATTGGATAGGATCGAATGTGCACGATTAAAGAGTAAAATATTACCTCCAATTATTCCCATTAATAGTCGTGATGTACTTCACCTTGTACTCAGCCCGCTCTTCGTCAGATGCGAGGCGGTAGTAGTAACAGTGGGCGAATGACAATAATGCAGCCCTTTTCGCCCTACATTCTGTAGGTAGCGACTGCGGTCGCCCCTCAAGATCTTCACTGAAATAATTAAACAGATCGACACATCGTCTTGCATCCCGCAGGCTAACACTTGCTTCACCACACTTTCCCCTCACGAATGCTTGGGACATCACAAGAAGCTTCGTAAAAGGGAAGGGCACAAATTTGAGCTTGGTGAACCTCAGCACAATGGCTTCGATGTAGGCTTGTTCATCTTTGACATTAAGTATGCCAAAGTCCTGTACATTCTCGACAAGTGCTTCTGGTAGAGGATGAACCGTGTATGCCTTCTCCAAATATTCCAAATTTCTAGATTTGAGCATCTCACGTGTAGACAAGCCTGCTCGTTGTCTCTTAAATTCATGCTTCCGATAAGGGTTACACGCTGCTACAATCTTGAGATTGCAGTGAAGTGGTTTGCCATCTACAAGATGGTGACATATTACGCCAACGAGGAATCCGAGATGGTTGCATGCATTTATCTCATCTAGCAACACCCAAACCTAGTGAAGCATGAACGTTTCAGAAGTCAGTGATGCAGAGAGATTTGATATGCAACTCTAAAAAAACAAACATAAGAATACTGACAGATCTAAGCAACTGCGAATCGAATTGTATTCATGATATACTAAATTATACTCTCACTCACGATGCAAGAAGACTAGATCAATCATTGTAGTTAAAGTCCAAAATTTGTTCAACAAGAACGCAACAAGCACAAAAATTGAAGTGAAAAATTGCTCACCAAATGGTTCTGAGATTTCTTTTCAGCTTTGCTCAAAAAGCTCCGAATCTCGTCTTCGGATGTTCCTGCATGCAGAGTGATGCTAAAGAAAATAACACAGCAGTAGTCAGCCAACTGACGCAACAGGCTTGTTTTGCCACAACCCGTCTCGCCCATAATAACAACCGGAATGCCTGCTTTCACCTTTGTGAAGATCAAGGCCATTTTTAGAAAATTATCAGCAGTGAGGACGTAGTGTTTATCCCTTACAGGCGGTTGAGTTTTGTGCAAAATGGACCAAAGGTTCTCATAGAGCTGATCAGAACTCAGTGATTCGTAATTTGTCAACTTGGCTCTTTGTTTCTGAAATAAATCCACGAGAGCAGTTGGAACGTGACTTAGCTCCCTGTAGAGAATAGCAGGTTGTGAAGATAACTTAAAAAATATCATTACGTGCTTGCTGTCGGACCAGCGTTGCATGTTTTCCATCCTAGCAGCCATCAGGACTTCTGCACTGGCCGACATGGTGACCCCCTGCTGTTCATCAAGCCAAGGTTTCACTGAGCGTGCTAAGAGTTCACGAGAAACCTCAAGGATAGATCTAACAATAACCGAGCGGGTATCTGATTGGGCGCCCATGAGGACCAGATTTTCTGGATAAAAGAAAGGGCACCCAGAAAACTCCCGCAACTGCTGAGCAAAGAATTTTGTAAACGTCTGTAATAAAGAAAATGAAATTGATTGCTCGTCCTTCAAGAAGTCCACAAAATGTCGTTGCAGAAGCCCATGACCCAGTCCACTGTCAATGAGAGAAAGATGACTGCGATTGCTTTTACCATCTGGATTCCATCTGTCCAAAATACCAGCCTCCATTGCAGCGAGGTAATTCCAAACATACTGGTCATCACTATTTAAATCCTTACTAGGTTGGAATTGTGCCATATTCCAAACCAGGTGCTCCGTTCGGAACCATTTGCAAACAGAGAGTTTCGATGCCAGATAATTATGATATGTGTTTGCCACTTCAATGGCCACCTTTCTGGTCTCCAAGTGAAACAAACCAGCTCGGTCAGACTTCAAGCAGCCCAGGACTAGAAGCTCAAATAGCAGACCATTCAAAGTCTCCGGGTTGCTAACAACTGAAACATCCAGATGGAGAATAAAAGAAGAAGTTTGTGTAGGATTAACTATATTGAACAGTTTCTTCAGTTGTCGAATCAACTGGTTGCGCGAAAGTTCTCCGCAAATTGTAAGGGTTCTGATGCTGTCGTTCGGCTGCAACAATTCATACAGAAACAACCACAACAGTAGGATCAAGCCCATACTTTCAACATTCACGCTACATTCCTTTCCAATCGGCCCAGAATATGTATGAAAGATGTTCAGGCCATTAAAGACGTGACCTAACAACATCGTGAATCCATGATGTTCTATACTGGTCTTCTTTCGGACAAAAGGTGAGTATGTAAATACTATCGTAACACACAACCACACTGAATAGAGGTAATATCACTTACGTGATCTGTTTCTGCAAACTCCCGCACAAATCTTGTTTTTCCCATGCCAGGAAGATCTGAGGTAATTACCCACATCCATTTTTTCTCTTTCTTAATAGCATCAGCTGTTCCAGCTGCTGGATGACGGACTTGAATCTGTTAATTTAGGTCGAAATTCATCAGTGATTTAAGCTGCAAGGTTTTTTTTCACACACTGCTAAAAACATCTACAAACCACTAGCAAGAATCACAGAACTCCTCAATGGTACAGGCCCCAAGAAGCAAGCGGATTATCACCTAATTTCAAGGACAGGAATTTCTGGGTTAAAAAGGAACACACCAGCTAGCAGAACTAACAATACCTGCAGACGTTGGGAAAGGGTGAGCAGGAACTTGCTACGAGAACAAGACACCAACGCTAACTCACTATCACCAACTGGACGTCTCTGAGCGATTTGCTCAAGCATTGCCAGCAACTGTGCCTGGCAATCATACGACAGCCTTTCAAGATAAACAACGCAGTAGAAGTTGTATTCCGATTCTTCATTATTGAGATAGCGCAGCAGGAGGAGGTAAAGATCCTCCCAAGCAGTGGAAAACTCACAAACAATTACATTGCTTGCACTCCCGTGAAGGTAAAGATCCCGTTCCGAAAATAAAGTTACGACCACATTCAGTTCATCTTGAGGATCATCGACATCAGCCAATATAATCCCATCAGAGTTTCTGGATTTACTGCGTGCAGCTTTAGCATCTGGGTTTCTCTGGAATATGATCGATTCTATCACAGAACTGAAGTCGCGCAAGCAGCTGTATATCAAGCTTTCTTCAGCAATATGTCTCAATTTGGCAATGCGGAAGACATTCTCGAGAACACCACGACTGGCAGCCTCCTCCTTAAAACCTGTTAAGTGTACAAGAGAAACCCTTGTCCACTTGAACAAATCCAAGCAATGCTCCAGCTTTTCACCAAACGGCGCTGTTTTCTGAAGCATAAGTACCTCGAGAATAAACCGGATTTCTACTGACCGAAAGAAGTTGAGGCACTGAAAATCCTTTCGAGCCCTCAACAACGCTGCCTTCCAAGTGGAAAGCTCACACTTTAGTTGATCATTAAGAATCTGTAAACTCGCAAAGTCAGACACAACCTTTTGAAATGTGGCGTACGAAAAATGACCACAATTGTGAAGCTCTGTTAATATTTCAACAAGATTCTCTGCAACATCAATGTGACTGATAAATGTGAGAGCATTTTTGTCAGTAGTGTCAATAGATTCGGCATCCGCTCCAGCCCAATCTGCCCCTGCATTATTTTGGCAAGGTTGCGGACGTTAAGCTTCCATAGAAGAGACAAGAGGATTTGTTCCAAATGAAGACAACGAATTTTCACATCTTAAAGAAAAGAAAGTGCGAAAAGAAAAGTTCCATGCACCAAGCTAACCTCGCTTGGGACAAACTAAGGGAAGAAAAGAGGAGAAAATGTACCGTAAGATTCTGCGGTCTTGGACTTTTTGGTGAAGGTATTTGAACTGACGGTCCACCGCGCGCGGCTACGAAGCTCTTGTAACTGCGTCAGATTGAATGACACCGCTCCCAATGAGCTGTAAGCGACATTTGTCGTGACAGTCGACTTCGATGATTCACCCTCATTGCCACATTTGAGTTCCAAGAAACATCCATCTTCGTTTAAAAGGAAATGATACTTTCCAAAAGTTAAGATGTCGGCTATTTGATCCTTGTCTTTATGTGTCCGATTAGCCACTCCATCGAAGTACTGACGTAAAGTTTTAGCCTCTTCGTTACAAGCCTTCAGCTTTCGACAAAGATGGTTGGAGCTCGAGCTAGACGAATTGAGCTCTCCTAAAATGGCTGCACGTAAATCCTCGAAGCTTGTCGTTGAGCTGGGTCGACTCAAAATTGGACGAAATACTCCTACAATGGAAGTTTTGAGAAATTTGATAAGTTTACTTTCCACTTCAAAAGTAGTGGATATCCTTTTCTAAATCCACAAGATACCATGAAATCGCCCTTGTTTACCACCCAGAGATTCTTTTAAAAAAAACTGATAACTGCCATTCTCAATTGTGAATCTTCCAAGAGATGCTACATGTGAATCCTTTTATAATATACGTTAAATAATTATTAATCTATAAAAAAAACTGTGTGGGAAGTATAGAATTTCAAGACGTACTCTGAAGATCAATTAGATCGTTGATGAGGCCTTCCCAGCTTCGCATAGCAGTGGGATCCTCAACAGCATCGAGTAAATGTCGAAGATCCTCCTGAACAGTTTGTCTTAGGAACGCTATCAACCCCCCGGTGTTGGTGAGCTCCTTCAAGGTGTCCACTTCCGACGTGGAAAAGATGGATAAAACATTTTGCCCACCATTTTCAAGCACTTCTTGAAAGTGATGGAGAGAACACTGTGGTATGCATTCAGTAATGACTTTCCTAATACGAAGAACAAGGCCATCACAGTTCTCACTCATCTCAAAAACACTTGCTACTCGAGGTAAGATTGAATGCAGTTCTCGAAGAACAGTCACTCTTTTCCATGTCTGAAGATAAATCGCAATGTTTGTCTCTATGTTGTAAAAATACTTCGAGACGTTGCGCATCTTCATGGAGTTCAAACCCAATTGTTTGCATGATAACTTAAACTCGGTCTCAACAGCATTCGGAAGTATCCCATTCCACAAGGTGCACACTCGTCCCATTTGGATCTTGTCGAGGTTGACATCAATCGCTGCAAATAATCTCATATCATCCTCGTATTGATGCACTGCCTCAGGGATAATGATAGACGCAATCGTAGACAACGGTATTTCTAAACTCATTTCAAGCTTTGAATCCGTGGCCGGAATCTTTTTGATGAGCTCATCGTTGTCACTTCCACGGATTTGCACCGACTCCAGAAGGACGTTCAAAAGAATTCTGGAAGTGTTCAAGGTTATGATAGAGTCAACGTAACTAAAAAATGCCTCGTGCTCGCTAGGCCAGTGATCTGGGGCCGAATGGATTTCGCCCATGGTGAAATTCTTCCACTCCGAGCACCGCCTTGCTAACCAATTCCTCCATTCTTCATGACCCTCGACCGCAATATTGTTATCACCAAGAAATAGGCATATATTGTAAAGTAGCACCTTGTATCCATCCAATCGCTTCTCGTAGATTTGAAGATCTTTGTAAGCTTTCTCTAAAGCAACCACAAAAGATGTGTTATCGAGGATGTGAAATATCTTCTCCCAATCTTTCGTGGTTGAACCCAATTTGATGTACCGCAAGCTCACGCTTTCCGAATGTAATGAGCCACCAAGACTTACAAATGCCTTGTGGATATCCTTATATAGCACATGGGATGTGATACACTGAGGGCACTTCTCAATCTGCATCAGTAGAGTGGCAAACTTGTACTCTGCAATAGTCTCGATGGGTCGAAGGTGCAATTCATGTTGCAGGTCACCTTTCACCTTCATGACAGTGTCTAAAAGCATGACACATAAACGCTCTCCTATGCTGTTGCACAGTAACACAACCATTAACTTGATTTCCACAGCCATAATAGTTCACACTTTATAAAGCGTCCAAAAGTTGAATTCCAAAAATAGAAAAGTCCAAAACAAATATTGTGTCCACCTACAAACGTTCTTCAATAGACTTTGAGTGCACTATAGTTTTGAATAGGAGATTTTAAGGAACTGACAAATTTTGAAATTGAAACGTGTTGCGGTTGGTCTCTTGACAAATAGCTCGAAAGGAAGCACTAGCCTCCTCATCCAATTGGCTCCTCGTTTTGAACGCAACAAACACATCCTCCATCATACAACCAGCTGCACCTAGGTAGTGATCTTCCACTACATTAGATTGAAAAAGAGTAACCTTCTTCGAGTCTTGGAGGAATGCATGTAGATTGGGGCATTCGTCTACGGCCATGGAAATAGCCATACGTGTCAAGGAGGAGACAAGAGATGATTCAACACCTGCAACGAGGAGTTCCTCCAAAGCTTCCAGAAAAGAATGGGGAGGAAGGTAGACTGAGACGTCAAACCCTCCACTGCTAATTATTCTTCTGGCAGCACCTTGTAACCAAACTTTCAAAACTTCATGGTACTCGATGTACGATATCTCTCGATTAATGAGAAATATCATTACAGTTCTCCCCTGTGAATACACTTTGGGACTGATCGCTGTGGAGAGAGCCGTTATTAAGCGCACTTCACACGACCGCAGCGGAGTGATGAAAGCATGAGGAGACATGACTAGGTTTAAGATTGCCTCATTTAGTTCTTTTTCATCCTTGCCCCAAGGCTTCAAGAAGGACAGAGAACCCTTCATTGACATTGAAGTTCCTTGAGATTGATCTTCAAGATAGAGAATGTGCTGAAATAACTCAACAAGATGGTCCCGGAAACTTGGAGCCAGAAAGAGATAGCGCTCCATTACCATTCTATGGTCCACATTCAATGCAAGCTCAAACTGTCGCTGTATCCTTAGTTTTCTACTGACTGGGTTCTCATGCTGCTCGATGATTTTGGCGAAACACTTGTGAAGGGCCTCCTCCATCAGGTGCACAGCAACAGAATCGTTGGAGTTCTCAGAAAACAACCATCCTACTTCCTTTGATCTAAATATAACAGCTGCGTGAAAGAAATCTTGAATTGTAGGAGCTGCCTGCAGAGCACTTGCTACAACAGCTAATCTTTCTTCCGACGATTTACAGATGTTACTTCCGTAGAATTTCCATATCACCTCTTTGTATCTCTCTCTCGCTTCATTAACCTCACGATCCATCTGTTCTCCAAACCTGAAAGTCTCCCATCCGTTCACAAAGTTCAAAGTGGGATCAAAAAATGCCAACATGTCCACGTACCGCACCCATTTAAATGAGAATGGAGAGACGCAGCTGACAAGCTGTGCAATGGTTTCTTGCAAAACGTTTCGCAATAGTTCCTGTCGGAGAACGGGGGAATCAATTCTAATAACTCGGAAGAAAACATTTAATGATTTAAGAGCTTTGAGGCAAGCTTTGGCAAGATCCAAATTTTTGGAACCCACTTCAACCAAAAGTTCGAGAAGAGCGACACCGACAAGTCCCTGCTTCGCGACCAGTTTCTCAGAAGGTTCTCCTCGCGACTTAGAGCCGAAATCCTTGAAAAATACTTCTTGTATGTCTGACGCCCAGTTGACAACGATTTTCAAGGATTCCGAAGGATGTCGCTTGTGAAGTGCCATCATTGCCGATACGTTGGGCCGTTTATAAAAATATTCGGTGAAGACTATTTGTAAATTGTCTTCACTGACGCATTCTGTTAACGCCCTCAGTACAGCTAACCACTCAGCCAAAGTGTAATCCTGTGAATTTTTTTTTCGTCCTGCATTGTCACATACATCAATGTGGAGTCCGAGATTCGACAATTGAACTTCGTTCTTTGTTTCAGCCACTTCAGGTTCAAGTTGGAGGTTCATAGAGTTGAAGAGGTCCGCCACGACAGAGCCCAGACGATCTTTCCCTTCACTCCAAGTTTTATAGGTAGCCATTATCTTTTCACCAGGAAAAAGTGACATTTGCGCCCGGCAGATCCAGGCACGTAATTTGCTGTCTTTTCCCTTGCCTAACGAGAACCCAGCTTTGCCGCGTTCAAATTCCTGCATCTGCAAGAATTAGAAACATTAGAAGTACGATTAAGACATTTTTTGTGACATGTTTGGCCTAACTCTCAAGTAAATTGTAAATGCACGCAACGAGCTCATGGACATTCTCATGATAAGACTTGCTTCATACTGCAGCAGTTCTGATGAAACACCATAACAATTCTGCAACTTTGAACTGAATCTCTTGCTGCCAATTCACATTTGAAAGTTCAAGTTCCGCAAGATTACCCCGTGTACGTCAATTTCCACTTCGATCCACTTCGGCGCGATAACTATTACTTCGACGGACACCGTTGAAGAGTCCCATATCCGTGGCTGTCGATGAGAAGATGAATCCATGTACGATTCTTCTCCTGGAAAATGACTTGAGTGGGAAATGAGCCGATCTCCGGGATTCTCGTGAAAATGAACTTCTGAAATCGACTTTTCATGCGAGCTCCTTGTGTCTTGAGAAATGAGGTGCGGACTAGGGAGAGAAGGCCCTTCATCCTGTGCATTAGAAGGACCAATCCGTGTATTCCTTCCGTGTTCATTGGAACTAGAAGTTCCTACGTCGTTGTTGGGCACGGAGGAAGGATCAGAGATTAAGATGCTCGATGAACATCTTGAAGAATCACCATTTGTCGAATGTCCTCCCGAGCACGAGATCAAGAATTCATCAGAAACGACACTGCCAGACACTCGGTACCTATCATCCTGATCGTCAAGTCCCTCGGCGCTGGAAAAGTGACTCTTAGAATCATAATGAGTGAAAGCTGGTTCTCTGCATTTCTCTGTCATGACATTTTCGTTATCGTCACGAGCGGAATGAGACATGAATTGAACAACAGAAGAAGCCTCCAGTTCCATCAAAGGCTCATGGCGACCCTCTTGTAGACCTGAAATTTTTTCATGCTTCTGTGGTACGTAACACGCTCCCCTCACTCTCGTAACTCCACGATGATACTGCAAACAATTGCACAAATTAAAAAAAGTCAAATTCCGAGAGAGCATCCTTTCCTGGACTCGAAAAGTTCACCTAATTGATACCGAACGACTTCGCTTTCCGAAATTGTTTAATCCAAACTGAAATCCCACTTCTCAGGACAATTCACCAGAGTAGGCTTCCATTCCAAGGATAACTAGGACTTGAGGAAAGTCAGAAGAAACGTTTTCTACAAATTCCATCGACCACAATACGCCATTCAAACATATCTTTTTTGATTTCATGAAAGCGCATGGCTAAACGTCCCTCACCTCATGCTTGATATTGATATAACTTCCATTGCAAAATCTCGTCTGTCATCGATACAACTGCTCGAATTAAACGAAAGGTGCTTCACAAGTCTGGAAGCGAAGGCTCTACTCAGCGAGGTTCACCGACTCTAAGTTCCTCATCAAACCCAAACTCCGACACAGTTCCGGAGACCTAATCAAACACACAAACCCAACGTGAATGCCACGCAAAGCCCGAGCACTACTCAATTGATCGCAATCCCCCCACGCCTCACTCCAACAAGGTCTAGAACCGTCGCCTCTACCAGAACAACGAAAACAATGGTCTAAAACAATAAAACAATCCCTACCAATTAGAAGCAATAAATAAAACATTATTGCAAGTTCGTCGGTCCAAGAAACCCGTATCTGCTGATTAAAGTCACAATTTGGGGAATAAGGCTGTAAACGGGACCGCAGATTTAGAACGTTGACTACCAGACTGACAAGTCCGAATCTGAGAGCGTTTAGAAAGTCAAACTTAGAGTCCGAGTCAGCAGCACAAAAACCGCTGAAGTCGGGCGAGGAACGAAACTTAGTCGGCGAGCCATGCCTCATCGCACTTTGCGATGAAGCCAGCAACTCTATGAGCCTACAACCACACTGAACACCATTACGTGCAGCGCCTCTAACGACGAAAGCAGACATTGAAGACGAAGAAGAAGAAGAAGATGAAAGAGACAATGCCCTCGGGGCTCCTCCTCCTCCGTGTGCCCGCATCGCTACAGATTTAAATGGAAAGCTCCGTCGCGGATGGAGCGATGAAGGGCGGCAACGTGAAGGGACATGCGAGGAGCGAGTCTGTCCGTGCCAACACCTTCTTCCATGCCACGGCTTTCGGTCTCCGTGGGCTCAGCCTAAGATCGTTCGTCGGCTATTCATTCATCCATATCTGGTTCTTCGCAAATTATTAATAAAAAAAATTTGATTATTTATTTTTTTATTATCATTTAATATATCAATACTAATATTTTATTATATATATTAATATTAATTAAAAATATTGATAATAATTATTAATTTTAATATTAATTTTAAAATTAAGAGTTGACAAGTTTATAGATGGTGTTGATCTTTTTTATAATTATTGTATGAAACAGCTTGTGTATGAGATAAAGAGACAAAAATGCATTTTAATTAGCAATTGAGAAAGAAACTTTGAGTACTTGGGAAATGTAAAGTGGTTGGAGCTAAAGTATCTCCAAGAACCAAGTTATTGGAATCCAATAATGGCTCTTCATCCGCCAGACTATTTGAGGTTCTAGCACAATAGAAGAGAGAAGTGAAGAAGATTTCAATTATTGATCTATGTAAGGTTTACATTTGTTGCTTTGCATTAGATTCCTTTAAATCAGTTTTTTTTTTTTTTTTTTTTTTTTTTTTTTTCTCTTTACTTCTATTTGCATTATTTACTTACACGCATATTCTAGAGCCAATTAGACAGCCTTACATGGCCTAGTATATTATTGATGTTGGAATATGCATTTTTGTAGAGCCTCAAAGCTAATTGGAGCACCATGCATGGATTGATGTTGCTCTTGATGTTGGAGTATGAGTTAGATGTATAGTAGAAAAGAGATATAAAGAAAGATTTTTAAAGCTTATCTTTTATTCTATCCTCCTATTAAAATCTTCATGACAATGTATCAATAAATCAAATAAAGCCTCTACCTAGTATTAGAATATAAATTGTTATAACATATAAAAATTAGCTTGGGATTATAAAATATATTAATATTTTACAATGTATTTTATTTATTGAATAAAATATTTAAGTAAAAATTAAGTTTTAAAAATAAATAATCAATTAAATAATAAATTTGAATAAGTGTGTAAATTTTAGTAGCAAAAAGTGCCATAGTTTTGTTGAAAATAAATTCTTTATAGAAGGGAATTAGGATCTAAGATAACTATTAGAATATCCATTTAAGTTAAAAATTGGTGTATATTTTTTTAGTAGGTTTATAAATAGATATATAATATTTTTTAAAAAAAGAGTTCTAATTTGTGAGAAATAAAGATTTAAAAAAAAAAAAATTAAGGAGAAATTTTGAAGCTTTAAACATTTAGTAGCAACTATAGAGATTGTGGTGATAGATGGATAATGAAATATTTGGATAGTATCTAAGAGGTCTTGGATTTTAATCATCATGGTATTATATGGAAAAGAAAGAAGAAAGAATATTCTCTAAAATCCTCAATTAATTTATTGAAAATATTTAGAGGATTGCTCGATGAATATCTATATGAAGAGATTATATTAGATAACAAGGGCATTTATCACCTATGAAGAAGAACAAAGAATCTCCATTAATAGTAGTAAGATGTATAATATCCACATCTTTAAAATATATTTATCTTTTTAATATATTGGTTTATAGCTTCTTTAAAATAATAAAAAAAAAAACTACAAATTCGTAGTAGTTAAAGTGAAATTGCATCAATCCTCTATAATCCTCAACTCACCTTTTTAGAAAAAATAAAAAATAAAAATCAATATGTAAACTAAAGAATTAAAATTATAAAATATAATTTAGAATTTAGGACTAAAATTAGATTTAGAACTTAAGATTTGAAAGCTATGATTTAGGATTTAGGATTACAATAAGGTCTTGGATTTAGGACTACAATAAGATTTAGGATTTTAGTAAGTAACAACCTTCTTTGGATAAATATATAAGGGCCCCAAAAAGAGATTTTTTCTCTTATTTTATTCTATTAACTTATAGGATATGGTTTGCTAATTGAGTCAAAGGCAAAAGAGGTTTTTGAGAGTTATTTTGTTGCTATTGTTGCTATTGTTGTTGTAAATGGAGAGGTTTTGGCAAAGAAAACATTAAGCTATCTTCACGGCACTGAAACATTGTACAATCCATAATTATAAGAAATCACTAAGCCTACAATTACAAAAGCTTCAAAATGATAGTTAGAACTGATTACCAAGTTCATGATTATAAAAACTTTAAAGTAATAATTAGGGCCGATTACCAAATTGTTATTATAGGGACTTTAGAGCAATGGTTATAGATAATTACCAAGCCCGTAGTTACAAGGGCTTTAGATACTATAATAATGAGTGATTACCTATCCTTAGATTATAAAGCAACTCTATAATTAGAAGAGCTCTAATGCAGCCATAGATGATTTTACGTCCATTGGATTAAATAAAGAATAATTAATTATAGACAAAAGTCTAATATTTTCTCAAAACAAGATTTTTTCTTCACAATATCATAGAATCTATTTATAAACCAATGGAAACAAATTTCCAATCAAATGGTGCTCTCCAATCAACAAAATTATTTATCATGATTAAAGAAGGTCAATTCCAATAACTTGAAGAAGAAAGTCATGAAAAAATATTTTTACTTTTAATAGTATGGAGCTATTAGTGGTGGCCACAATGGCTAAAGCTACAAATTGCACTATAAAAGAGATGCCAAAGCAACAAAGATGATTCCCATCTCTTATGCAATTGATTGCACAACTAGCTTCAAGTTATTATTCTTATATTATAATATTATAGTAGAAAAATTAAAGAGTAAGAATTGGAGCCAAAACAAAGATAAAAAGTATACTTTCAAAATACTAAAAATAGATAAATATTTTGTGATGGCAACCTACAAAGATAAGAGATTGTATTACGCATGTCGACAACCAAGCTAGCCATAGAAAGAAAGGCATTGTGATCATTTTATAGAATTTATCCAAAATTTCAAAATACAGATTTTGTTTCCATGATTTCTTTTAGAAATGTATATAAAAAAATCCAATTAATATTGTGAGTTATAAGAGCTTTAACAAGAGAGAATAGAAATATTATTTTTTTATCACAGCTAATGATTTTTTTTCTTCTACCATTTATTTTTATTAAAATGAAGAAAAATATCTTAAAAAGAAAAAGAAAAACTTATTTGAAACAAACATCATGTATAAATTTGACATTTAAAAATAAATAATCGTTTTAAAAAAATTAAATTCTATATATTTAAAAAATTTAGAAATTTTTTATTTTATTATATTTTATTTTTATGATATAGTCAATGTATTTTAAAAATATTTTAACATTAAAACATAAAAAGTAAAAATAAAATGCATTAATTTATCATATATTGTTGTTTTAATGCAATATTTTTTTTGATATCATATGTTTAAAATAATGATAAAAATAAACCTAGTTATAAAATTAACTTTACTTGTCTATGTTGTTGATATTTATAATATCAAATTAATTTATAAACAAATGAGCTTGACCATTTTTAATAAGCAAAACAAATTATTTCCACTTGATTTTGAACAATGAATTAGTGATAAGACATGTTTTATAAGACATTGATGATAAGACTGATTTTGAATAGTGAATTATAGATAATACATATTATATAAGCATAATTAATTACAACACCAACATGTTTTGAAAGTAATTATTTACATTTAACAAGAACTTATGGAATGCCCAAGAACCTACAAAAACTTAAGGAATGCAAGAGAGCACATGAGAACTTGGAGAACTCATGGAAGTGCACAAAAATCCATAAAAACTTGCAAAAATACAAAAGAATACTTTTCTATGCTCAATGGCACAGGTTTCTACTTCTCAAAATATGATCAAGATCTTATATCCTAAAAATAATAAAGATAAAAATGCCATCAATAATGTAGTTTATTACAAAATTCTTTTAACTTAGTTATTTAAGTTGTAGTAAATAAAAATTATGTTTAATCAATGACACTATAGAAATAAAAACAATTCCATTGTTATGCATATATATACATATATATATATATATATATATATATATATATATAAGTTAATAAGAAAGTAATATGGAAGTTTCTCAAGAGCTATAAGATTTTCTAAACAAATTTCTAAGATTTTATTTTATTTTTTTAGTTTTATTATTTAAAAAAATTAAAATTAAAATTATGAATACATTGTTTATTTGCTAAAACTTATAGATATACTTTTTATATTCAAATTTATATTTAAATATATAAATTTTAATATATAGATATCATCTTTTTAAGATATTTATATTTATTGATTTATATTTGCTTTTATTTACTTAAAAATTAACAATGTCAATGAAAATATTTAATAAAAATAATATCATTAAATTAGAATATTTTTAAATAGTTTTTTATATTTTTATAAAATATATTAATTAATTATTTATAATATAATTTTGAAATTAATAGATTTGATATAAAAAATATAGTTTATATATTTTAAATCTTAAAATTTTTAATTATTAAAATTT